TTGTTTGGTGGCTTTCACTGTCACGTCTCAGGTCATTGCCAATTGATGATATAACAGTAGCACAACGTAGGTTATCCTACAGATATAGTTCAGAAATTTATCAGCTAATTACTTCAAACGTTGAATAGAAGATGTAGAGATGCTTTTAATGCTTTAAAACTCCTGCAGCAGTAAATTCTAGAAGCTGTAATAATTAATAACAACTTGCTCTTATTTCTGACTTTGGTGGGGACCAAGTGCCCTTGAAAATCATTGGTTTCCGATTTTTGGCATATTGGGTGCTTGCATCTTGGAGGCAAAAACATATTACCATTAATTATGAAAGTCTGGAATCCATCAATTCATGGCCTAAACTTTAGTTAATCAAGGAACCGTTTTGTCATTTATGCAACAGCAGTTTTTTGGATTTGGAATTACCACATGTTGAGTCTCAAATGAGATAAGGTTGCAACTTTGCAGATGAGAGTTAATGTTGAGGCAGGATGAAGATGAATCAAAACCCTTAGTTTGCTGCCTGCTGGCATCCTTTTTGGAATGTCAGAATTTGGTGTCGCCTCTAGGCTCTAACTTCAATGCTGTTCCAGTCTTTCATATGGCCTATTGATAGATTTGTTGTAGTTGTGGGCTAGTTGGGACCATGAATCTGGCCCAATTAACTCATTGGACAGTGTGACTGTGGTTAATCATGTAATGGCCCAATTTCTGGTTACGGGACTTGTTGAACAGACCTCAGTCCATCAAAACTCAAAGGTGAGAGAGAAAAAAATGGAATTAGGGTCCCAATGGCCCAATGCCCAACTTTCTCTAGAAAAATAACCAGTCATTGAGGTCAATGGCACAGTGCTTAGGTCACTTTTTTCACCGTTAAGAACTTGTTAACCACCTAATTGTATGTTAATTAGATTGTAATTTTGATATTACTTTTTTTAATTTTGAAAGTTCAAACTAAAATGAACCTTAAAATATTTTTATTTTTATACTAACTCCACCTATATGTGAAAAGTAAAATTTTATTTTTTTATTTTTTAATTTATATCATTCCACTTACATGGATTTTTTTTTAGTCTGTTGATAAAATATTACATTTGTATTATTTTTTGACAATTTTAAATAAAAAATATATGGCAGCGGTTATGTGTGGCAGATTTTAGGGCTTGGCTTAATTTGGTGAAATTTAAAAAAGTATAAGAGAGGGCGAAGGGGTAAAGCAACCAAAGATGTGGCTTTCAGGAGGGGGCCTGTGCGAGAAACAGAAACCGTCAAAGGGAATAATTTTTCAGTGCGTTGCGTTGCTCGGGTGTCTTGTAACATTTCAATAATGTTAAAAAATCTATGCCCTGTCGCATGGTTTTAACAGAACAGATCATCGGGATATGAAAGGGTCTTAACAGAAGTGACTATACTATAGTTTTAAAAAAAAATGGACACCCCAATAAAGTCAAAATGATCAGAAGATGATTTTCTTTTCCTTTATACTATTAGAAAATTTTTGTATGGCATCCATATCGTTAATGGGGCAGTTGCCCGTGAAAATTTTGCAGCCACCATAACTAATATATCTAAAGTGAAAGGAAAGGAGGAGAGAAGGGATGAGATGGGACCTATTTTTGGCATTGAGGAACAGTACTGTATGTAGCCCTTAAGGCCAATGGCCCCTCAGATTTGCGAGCAGCTCTTTGAAAACAACCGATGATTGGACATACCCTCCGTTACTGACAAATTCATGACAATTTTTCACCACGTCTCCATCCATACCTCCACCTCAAACCAAATGCTATAGGAGTGATTATCAACCTGCCTACGTAGCCACCCTCCTCATCATAAAAATTATACCCCTTTGATAATTCTTTTGTTTTTTTTTTTTCTTTTTCAACGTTACAACAATTCATGGATATTATTTATTTTCATATGCTTCAGATAATAATATCTATTTTTTTTTTTTTTTTTTGCTTTTGGTAGCTGCAAATGGGATATTTTTGCTGTCATATTTTTAATAGCTCAAATGGCACCAACAGCAACATGGCTAGATTATGTTTTTTTTTTTTTTTTTTGGTTGTTGATACATACTAATCAGTGTTCTTACGACAGAAAACCCTATTGACTACCTTACCTGATGGGGACATGTCTTTAAACGTTTAAACCAAATTAATACCATTAATGATCAGTTAAAATTTAGAGATTTTATCAATCTTTTCTTTTATCCAGTTTACATTACTTTAATTATATTACATTTGGTTTAGAACAAGTTTAAGATTAACATTAATAACATCAAATATTAGTACATGTTTCAAAAGTCAGACTCACAATAATTATTTTCCAAGTACTGCATGCTTCTGTCGTTTTATCATGTGAAACATAGAATTATTTTCGAGAAGTTATTCATTATCGTTGAAATCAAAACAAGAACAGTACCAGAGACCATGAATGCCTTTTTTATTATTAATTTGATATGGAAAAGATAAAGGCAAGAGTACAACAACATAAATATGGAAACTTGCAATATATATATATATATATATATAATAACAAAGACAATTTATGACGCTTATATTTTTTTAAAAAAAAATTTAAATGAAAGAAGTTTCTTTAATTTTAAGGTCCAAAGTAACACATCCTAAATTTTTATCGAAATTTATATTAAATTACAGTTTGTTAATTAAGAAAGATTGTTGAAAACAAAAATTGATATCTAATTAAATGTGTGTTTGGTTCTTATAGAAGAATTTATTTACTGCAAAAATGGAAATTAGACGTTTAGGTTTTAAAATTTTAACATATATGAAGAACAAATTTGAATTCTCAGGCAAAGTTATAAATTAAAATTCTTCAAAAAATGTTTTTTAATAACAAATATTTAATAAAATTTTTTTTACATTCTCACTTTATTCTTCAATAATTTACAAAATTATAAGAAAAATTATATTATTTATCAATATTTTTTATTTTGTCTATTTTTTGTTGAATTAATTTGCTTTTTATTGTAATTAACACAAATGTCTCCTAATTTTATTTATTTATTTTTCACTTAAAAACTTGTGATTCAATTTAATAAAGTTGACCATATTTTTTATTTATCAAAAAATACATAAAAAAATAAAATTTTCAACATTTTATGGTACTTTTATATTAAATGCTATTTTAGTTTCTCTTTATATCACTTTTAGAACAACTCTACTCCAATAGCACTTCTTATAAAAATTTCAGTCAAACCAAACAAACCCTAAATTTTACAAATAAAATATTCAAAATTTACTAACCCAATCAGTCACATTTACATATGAAACATATATACCCATAACTTAAGGAAAATTTAAAAAGGAACAATTTAAGGAAATTTTAAGAAGGAACATTATTAATATATCTGAGAAATTTTGATAGAACACCAATATAGCAAACAGTCAAACACCAATTTTAATTACTTAATTTGTAACAATAAATAGGGGACTTAATCTTTATATTTCTATGACTTTCTCTTTCGCTTATAGATAAAACTTAAATGAAATTTTTTAAGTGAAGTTTGTAAAAAAAAATTTTTAAAAATAATTTAATAAAAAATTAAAATAACCCATGCATGCTTCGTGCCAGATGATTGAAGTGGATGATTGATCAAAAGAGAAAACTTTCCAAATAACAAAAGGTTGTTAAACCTAATTTAAAGAGTATGATACTTTTTAAAAAGATTCAAAGACAACTACAATGAATAATTTTTTTTTATATTAAAAAATAGCAAAAACATAAATTAAACTACAAGTTTTATAGAGTAATAAATGCTTTTGCAGATTACAGTTTTGTTTTGTTGTGTGTGTGTGTATATATATATATATATATATATTGAGAAATCATTGACTGTTCATGTGATCTGCTTAGACAGATTTGAAAAATACTGAGGGAGCGGTAAAAATGGAAGAATTCGAATTCGTTGAAATTCTGAAACAGATAAAATCTTGTGTGTTTGAGACTTCGAGATAACAACAATAACTAATCCGTGTCTCATATGTAGCTTTTGGCAACAAGCTTTTTCCTTTGGCTTGTTCCTTTCCTGGCTCAGCTTTTTTAAGTATATTTTCACATTTTTCTTTGGCGTTCCCAAGATAAACAGTGAATGGTAGCATATATACGTACATACATATATATAATCAAGTACTCTTAATGATTAGTTTACTTAATTATATTCTCACTTTTCTTAATTTTTATGGCTTTAAATGATATCTGGCCAGCTGCTCATATCTAAACGGTTCCTGAGTAAAAGGGAAATGTACATAGTTATGTGTAAAAATGCAACGATAAACATGAGTTACCGTGAAAGAAACTGGCCAAAAAAAGTACACTGAAAGAAAACGTATAAGATATATATGCATGATGGCAAAGGTGTGGGGTGCTGCATTTATCTCTTGCCTGCATAAAGCATTCAATGTTTTTTGGCAAGAATAATAAGATCGTGGATAGTGGAGATATAAATATATATCATGAAAATTGTAGCCCTTCTCTCCTCGATCGTATAATACTTACATATGCATCATGCTCCAATATTCCTTATATACACCCTAATTAGAAAGATACACTACATAGATATAATGCTCTTTGTAGAACCTGACTGAATCATGGATCATTATCTGTCTTCTTACTAGCTGGCTCTTGATGCTGTGTTTCTTTCTTTTTGTAATCAATTTAGGGACTACAAAAGGCTAGAATGAAGCATATTAAATTCATCAGATCATACATTAATGGGGCCACCAAAACTAAAGAAAAAGTCTTAATTTCATCCTATGGTTCACCATTATAGTGCATGCTTAATTTGCAAAGAATTAGTAAATTTCATCAAGTCGATCGATTATATGTTTTTTGTCACACTAGTAATTAATCAAGAATAATTAAACTTGTGTGGTGATCAGAATTTAATTTGATCAAATGACTTTTATATGTTTAAATTTGTGTGGCTACCATGAAATGAACTCTATCTTCAGGTTTTGAAATTATTTCAGTGGCGGTGGGGGGTAAAACTCTGCAGATAGGGTTTCTTTCTTTTTTGCATAGGATGAAGCCATAGCTAGCATTCCACGCTTCTGCTTTTCGTTTTGTCTTTTAACTTGTTTGTTTGGGTGTTACATATGAAGTCACGTGAACCTCTTATTTGCTCTTTCTCTCTTTTAAAACTCGATCGCGTAGGCCCTTTTTTGCCTTTTCTCTCTATCATTCATCACCTCCCATCCTGTCTCCCCTAATCTCAAGCATAGATCCTCCACCTTACCTGGACGGCACCAAGATCACTACGTACTGTTCATCACTTGATTGCCTTCTCTCTCTAGCTGATCATTCCTCATGACTTCTAGTAATTATTATTCATCTCTTTATCCTTTTCCTATTGACCTTAATGAAGACGATCAACACCAACAGCACCAGCTTTTCAGTTTAAAATCCCAACCTTCTTCATCGTCTTCTTCTCCTTCTTTTACTTGTCCTATTTTCTTCAACCCAACTGTTCAAGATCAGCAAGCCGGTTATTATCAAAGGGAACCCCAGCAGTTCCAAGATCAAGAAGAGGTATATATATATAGTTAATACTACTTCACCTTTCATGTTATAATTTCTTTATGCGATCACTTAGGGTTTTATTTTCTTTTCTTTTTTTTTTTTTGGCTCCTTTAGCCTTTTAAGGGAAATAAATAAATATAATGATCACTTGCATATATGACTTTCTTAATTTTAGGAAAAAATATATGTTCCACAAGATGGACCATTGGAGAGTGACAGTGGGCTCAAGTTATCAATATGGAAAAAAGAAGAAAGGGTTGAAAGTCATCAAAGTCATGAGAATGTTAGTTCAGCTAAGTGGATGTCTTCAAAGATGAGGATGATGAGGAAGATGACGAGCTCAGATCACACCGATTTATGGAATAGCTCTACGCCAAAATTCGAAGATCATCAGAAGCAGCAGCCATCAACATCTCCAGATAACAGCAGCAACTCTTCTTACAATAACAATAACAACAACACAATTAGGGTTTGTGCTGATTGCAACACAACTAAGACTCCTCTTTGGAGGAGTGGACCTAGAGGCCCCAAGGTACTTAACTTTCTACTCTTTTCTTATCAATACCCTTGTCCTAAAATCTAAGTAATTAAAGACAATTACTGCCTATTTTTTGAGATAATTAATTAACCTTCTTTTGTCTTTGGATTGCAGTCCCTTTGCAACGCCTGTGGAATTCGACAAAGAAAAGCAAGAAGAGCTATGGCTGCAGCAGCAGCAGCGGCGGCCAATGGCACTGTTGTTGCAGCTGAGACAACGCCAACTATGAAGAGTAAGGTTCAACAAAAGGCCAAGAGATCAAGTAATGGTTGTGTTCCACAGTTCAAGAATAAAAAGTGCAAACGTAGTCCTCAGTCTCATGGTAGAAAGAAGCTTTGTTTTGAGGATTTGAGGATAATCTTGAGCAAGAATTCAGCTTTTCATCGAGTTTTCCCTCAGGATGAGAAAGAAGCCGCGATCCTGCTGATGGCCTTATCGTATGGACTTGTTCATGGTTGAAATTTTTCTCACAGCTAGGCTCATATATTTTGTTGTTTTCTTAGGTTTAATAATGTCAGGAGTACTACCTAGCTATATAAATGTCTGAAACTTTAGTTAATTTTATGAGTGAGTGAGGAATTAAGATGTGAATGGGTGTGAGGGAAACATAATTGGTCAAATAAACAAAAGAGATCAAAGTTGCATAGAGATCTTTAGAGCTTGATCAGGTGGATTTGAACAGGTTGATAACCAAAATTATGGATCCACCTCTGGTTTATCTACGTAGGTCCTATTATTATGTTATGAACTTCAATAATTCAAGGCTTTATTTCTGTCTCTCTCTTTCTTTTTATTAATTTCTTTCGTCTTTACTTTCTGATCATTTATTTCATACATTAAGAAATATTTATATTTACATTATCTTCCAATCATAGTTGAAAGTTAATAAGGTTTTTTTTATTTAAACTTTTTGGATATTTGATAATCACTTTAAATTTTAATTAATTCGAAATTAAATCAAATCTTATAAAAAATAAATTCTCTCAAATTTATTATTTTATTTATAAAATTTGAAATCAAAATTTTAATTAAAAAGAATCGAATTCTTTATCATGAGCGTTAGTTAGTAAGCTTTTTTGGACTTAAGCATAAAAACCGCCGCCTATTCCAATCACGTGAACAACAATTTTCACGGCTGACACATTTTTATTTTTTACTTTTTTATTTAAATATATCAATAGCGATTATTCATATATACATATATATATATATATATAAATTGGATAGGTCAGCTATGAAATTGATTTTTTTTTTTTTTTGAAATTACTTTCAGTGGCGTTCAATGGTAATTCAGGAAAAAGCATTAGAGCTGTAGGGGTTATTTAAATCCTTTTTTTTTTTCTTTTTCAGTCCTTGTTCATCTACGTATGATGGTGATGAATCAAAGCCTAGCTAGGGTTATAGCCTTTTTTTTTTCTTTTTTGGTTGGTTGTTCTGAAAGTCGCCTAGAAGATAGTACTTTTGTCTTGAACATTGTCTTCGTCGAGTAAGATCATATATAGTATCTTTAAGCCAACTGGATTTGTAATCGTACCGAAGACTGGAGACATGATCCGTGCCTTCTCTTGATGGATCCAGCTATTGGAAAAGTACACCACAGGCGCAGGTGAACCTCATGCATGATAGATGCAAAGTAATTTTACAGAGTTTAGCCACAGAATTTTATTATTATACCGTATAAAAAGCACCTCCATTCATTCATTAAAGAAAGATTAATAACAACTGTTAACTACTTAAATTTATGTAATTCAAAACATACAAATAACTTCTAATTGAAACGTTGAATATGTTTATCTAGTATTATTAAATGAAATAGGTTGATTTAATTTGTGAAGAGTCTAACTGAAAGAAAAAAAAAAAAAAAACCTTCAAAACATACTTTAACCATTCCTATATAGTAACTAGTTTTAAAAAATTAAAAAAAAAAATCAAAACATACAAATGACTTTAATTTTAAATATTTATATTTATCAAAGTTGACTCCATTAATTAGTTTTAGAATTCAAAATATCTTACAAAAGTAACATAGAATGGTGCTGCCCATGAGGGAGGCTTATTTTTCTGATCACCTACCGTAACCATGGCCTAAAGTACTTATAACACTACTATAAAAAAATAATAATACAAATATGGCCTTTGTCGTCTGTCAAGTGCCAATTTGTTCGATGGTCCGACACTATTTCGGGAAATACTAGCAAATAGCAATATCCTTGAACAAAGTAGAGAAGGAAAGTATAGTATTATCCAAACATCAGTGTGAACCCAAATTTTTTATACTGTATATAGGCTTATTATATACCCATTGATGGCATATGAGCAAGCAAGAAGAGATTATTAGAAGAATCTATCTAATTGATTTATACAATTATTTTTAAAAATTGATAGTTAATAAATTTAAAATTTAAATTATAAAATTTATAATTTTTATAAAAATAAATAAAGAAATCTTTTAAATTCATATTGTTCTAACCAAGATATATTAATATACTTTCTCTTTATCTCAACATGCGCGTATTGTGGATAAAGGAGATTGAATTCGAAGTTCTCTTCTTCAAACAAAAATAGAAATGTTAAATTAATACAATATTTAACTTAGAAAATAATATATAATTGGATTGAACTTGAAATTTTGAATGATTGATGGACAAAGAGAAGTGGCTTTGGTGGGCCTGAGTTATTATGGGCCGGAAAGAGTCCAGTTGGCAGAAAAAGCTTTGGAGCTGGAAGGGCTAGGGTTGCAAAGCAAGGCCCTTCAAATCTTCGATCCAAGTCGAGGATTCAAGAATCAAGAACTAACCAACAGCGCTGACTGCAAACAGAATCGGGAAAATTACCGTTTAATTGCACTGGCTAACGAGACAAAAAGAGTTGAATCGTAAACCAAGTTTTAAATTAGATTCCAGGGTTGTTAATAAACCCTTCAAAAACCCCCAACAAGAACAAGAGACGAAAACCCTTTGTTACTTCCAGGCTCATCAATCAACCCATCAAGAAAAAATGGAAACCCCACCTCTCTCTCCGAAGGAATCCCGCATTAACCGCTACAAGCCCATTTGGCGTATTCTCCTGATTTCCAATCTCGCTCTTGGAGGTATTTCTTTTTGGCATTGATGTTCTTCAGTCTAATATTAGTTTCTTAACAATGGGTTGACGTTGTTTTAATGAATCTTTTTTTTTTTTTTTACAATTCGATTTAGGATATGTTTGATATAATGCCTAGCTGAGAGAAAACTTGTGAGGAAGGCTGTTGTTATGATATAGGTTAGATGTTGAAATATTTGATCTCATGTTAATTTGTTGCAAAGCTCTTTTTTCTTAGTCACTTGAGGACGATGTGATGCTTTAAATCAAATAGAATGTGTGTATGAGCAGCTGTTGAAATGATGCTATGTGAAATGAGAGGAGCAAGTCTAGATACTTTGTTATTGTCTAAGCTTTTGGCTTGATGAATTTTATTTTTAGTCACTGATCTTAGTGTTCTTTGTATCACGCCTATATGTGTTAGCTTTTACCATTGGTAATTCCAATTGCAACTTTGTTTTTCCGTTGCTGCTTTCGCACTAGAATTTTGTCTCAGAGAAACACTGAGTCATTGGTTCTAAAATTAGTGTCGTTGTTAAGTTATCATTGAAGAATAATTGTCGCTTATTTGCGTTATCATCACTGAGGATCAGAATTCTTGGATGAATTTGCATTATATTGGTTTCCAATGATGATAAATGATAATTAACTAACTTTGGATTATAACTAATAGGCCTGGATTAGCTCAATTCTCCATTCATGCACCATTCTGTTTGTTGTTTGAATTTTATGAAGCAAAAATGACCTGAATTCCAAGGTTTATGGCTCTACCGTGGGACTCAAAATTGGCTTGGTTACGAGGGATCTTTTGGAATTAGCTGACATTCTTTTTCCCTGTTGCAGCATATATGTTTGCAAAGGCAAGAAGGAAGAATTCAAGCATTATAGATAACAAACCGGCTAAAACAGGGGCAGAGCATGGCAAGACTGAAACTGAATCAGATGTTTCTTCTCATCCCGTGGCAACTGCCTTAGTCTATGAGGAACCACCAATCCTTCCGGTCATTGCACAGCCCACAAAGGTTTTGGAGCCCATTAGTGAAGATCAGCAGCGTGAACTTTTCAAGTGGATATTGGAAGAGAAAAGAAAAGTAAAGCCTAATGATCCTAAAGAAAGGAAAAGAATTGATGAAGAGAAGGCTGTTCTCAAACAATTTATTCGTGCAGAATCTATTCCTAGAATTTGATTCACACGTCTCGTTTTATTTGACAATTCTTGCTCCAATGGAGAACAAGTTACTACTAAGGATGGTTTGAAAAATCATATGCCAAAGATGCGGTTTTGATTTTTGGTGCCCATCTCTTATGAGATTAGATATTAAGAACTTGTATTAGATTTTAACAGCAGTGCTCACTGGTCTAAGACATTCATCGCATCTGCTTCGTCCTAACTAATTGAATCTTCTCGATTGGCCAACAGAAAAACAATTTAGCAGTGAAAGCGTGTTTTGCTTTGATGAAGAACGAAAAAACAACACATCAATCAAAACTATTCATTCTTCTTCTGCGAAGTTGCCGTAATAGAGGGATGCCTACTTTGGGTAAGACCCAGCAGGCAACTGCACCTATTGGCTCCTTAATGAGACAAAAGATAAGAGATTGGTTCCCCTCATGCCCTAGCTTAGACATAAGCGGTAAGTTTTAAGTAGTGGGGTCCACTCTGTAACCTTTCCTTCAAGTCTAGCCACATGTATTTTTTTTTTTTTCCATCCAGTGCCTTTTCTGAACTCTCCTGTGTGCAACCATGCTTTACTCTGGGGACATCCTTTCAAATCATCAAATGGAATTGATAATATGCTAGTTTTAGTTACTGGATAATCTCTCGTCATCAGCTCTGCTTTTCTAGTCTCACTGCAAAACTTTCTCTTAAATGCCAGGAACCATCCAAGTTTCAGGTACCAAGCACTATCCTAACTGTAATTCAAAAATGGCAGTTAAAGCTCATATTCTTTTTCCAAAACTTTCTTATTTGATTCATTTCAGTTCTGGATTTCAAGGGTCTCCACTCATCACCACCATCTTCACAAATATCAATAAAAGGTAGTCAATCAGCACATTTTGGCTGAATTTTCTTATCTAGATTGGTAATATATATGTATACACACACTACTTGAGAAGAAAATTTTGCCACAGTTTATCCTTCATAATGCAGTTTCCATAGGAAAAAGAGAGTACCAGACTTGGGACAAGGGGGAATTCTCATTGTAATGATTCTGAACACTTTTTTGACTTCTATATTTTTGCCTTTGATTTTGCTGTGTTTTTAACTTCTGAGTTTTGCTAATCGAATTCCAACATGTGGCTATTGCACAGTCCCCTGACAACCCTTCGTGACAATTTGATTATAATACTTCAAGATGCTGAGGGAAATGAGATTTCTCATACAGGTTGGTCCCTATTCGTTTTCCACATGCATTGGGATATTGGATTTCATTCCAGTAGTTAGGCTGATTGAAATAATTATGGTATGGGGCAGGAGTTGAGACCAAATTGGTGGTTGAGAAAGGGGTGTGGGATGACATATTTTCTCTTGAAGGAGGTGGGCATGTACATATGAAGTTGCAGTTTGTCCTCTGTGAAGAGGAGCACCGGAGAATCCGGATAATGGTATTGTTCCTTTATTTTAACCCATATTTCTTTTGATGCAACGAATGATTACTTGCTACTGGCCTTACAGAAACAATCTCCTGTTATAATTCTAAATTTGACCTAAAAATCAAATGCATAATGGAGTGTACTTACAAATGATCCTGGAAATTGATTCTATTTAATCTCTTTAATAAGTAACACCATCTTCTTTTCATGTGTGCATCTGAGGATATTCTCTAGATAATTTACATTATCAGCTGGTAATATTGAATGTACAGTATATCCTAAATGATGAACTGCATTATGCTGTGTCTTAAATGGCAAGCCTACTGTATCCTGCTTTAGATTTTGTGATCCTGATAAACTTATTCCTTTCCCTAGCACAATTAAGTTACATGCTAAGCTCATTTTCAGAGAGAATCTGCACTAAAGAAGAAACATGAAGAGCTTTGCAATAGTGGTCATGGAAATCACAAAAGCGCTTCTGTCAGTTATAGTGAAGTTTCACGTTCGATCTTGCTTACTCAACTTTCATTTTCCTTTTTCCCTGAAATGCTTTTTCTTGATGTATTGAGTGCTCCCTCTTCTCAAGGTTCACAAGGGAGTTTATTCCAAAGTGGATTGCTAGCCAATGAAGCCAGTCTAGTGTCTGTCTCTTTTAATGACCCCAAGGATGCCAAATTCGATATTGGCAACAGAGATAGAAGTTACTCTATTCAGAAGCAAAAGAGCACAGTTAAGGATTACTAAGCACTGCAGTAAAAACCCTTTGCTCTTAACTTGCATACCTTGAGTTTTCTTAGTGTTCATTTCGCATGAATATTTATAATGACAGATATGAAAATAAAGGAAATACATAAGGCAGTCTATGTCACAAGCAGTCAATTTCCATCTAACTGAATTATATATGTCACCAGGATTCAGTTCCTTCAGAACTAGAGAAGGCTAATAACTCCGAGAAACAGGGACCAGTAAGGAAAGCCCATAGCCATGTAAGGAAAATGATAAGTGCTTTTGAGGGTAGACTAAATCAGGTATATTGAGTGTGTTGCTTAAAATTCTCCATTTTTTATTGCAATTTAGGCACATGATTAAGATTACTGGAACTTGATCTGTGGCAGGATGTGAAACCTTCTATTAAGCCACCACCGAAACTATCTCAGACAAGAAAGATTGAAGTGGACTCTTCTCTAGCAAATTCACATCTTAATGAAGTTGAGATGGAAAAGATCATGCCACCAAAGGTAACTTTTTGAACGATCAATACCAAGTTGTGAACAAATCAAAGTATGTATTGGGGAAAAAGTACAGACAATTGGTTTTGCCAAACTTTTATATGAGGTTGCATCATCTAAAGAAACCGAACAGTTGAAGAAGTCAACTGCTGCATGTATTCAAACAGAAAGAAAAGTTCTAGATTTGAAGAATAGATTTAAAGTTGAACCAAAAGAAAGTGATGTGAACGAAGAGGATAAATATTCTTAAGATTTAAAGAGAGCATCAACAATTCTCCCACAGAATGCTTGATAAGCATTCACAAGGCAACCAATCTTGGAACCTGTTTTCTAAAAAACAACATTCTAGTAGAAAATTAGTAACTAAGGATCCAGAACTTCAAATGAAAAACTAAAATCAGAGACTATTTGGAGTGATGACCATTGTTCCATTGGAAGCTTTGGTCTCTGGATATTTTCTGGTGAAGCAAAATGCTTATGCATAACAACTGGGGGCAAACAAATAATGGATCTAATGGGAGGTTTCTGGAATGAAACAAATATCCACCAAAGAAAGTTGAGTGCTTGTGATCCAAAAGATACAGGAGAGGTTTGTAAGAAATCCCATATAGCCTTAAGGTTTCACTAATATTGGATAAATTAATTTTATTATCTTGAGCTTCTTTCATTTTATCAAGTTCATACAATAATGTTTTTGCACAAGAAAATAACAAGGTATTGGCATCTGCCATTTTTATCAGGTTTCTATTTCCATAAACTAGTGAAAAAACAAAAAAGATATTACTGCAAATGAGTGGTTCTCTCTGATTAACTGCAAAGATTAGAGTTATTTTACTGTGCTTGGCTCCATGATATAACTAGGAAGAACTGATTCATCCTCCTGTAGCATACAAGATAAAAACATTCTTCAGAAAATTTTGATTCTTTGATGAAGAAAATTAAAACTAGCATGAAATGTCAAAAGATACTTCATTGGTCTTGGAATTGAACGGAGGAAATAAAATCAGATACAGCAAAGCACCATTCTTACCAATTGAAGACCTACATCATTTACATGGTTAAGCACTCAGGACTTTTGATATGTTAGGAACTAAGAATTGATATTGCAACATAGTATTACTTGCATCTTGATGGAATAAATGGCATAAGGAACCATTATTTCACACCGTATCAAGCACTGTACTGGATATATGCCTTAGGCAGATGTTACCAATTAGATATTACTGTGTTTCTTTCTCTCTTTTTTTTTTCTTATACACCTTATAAAGGAACAGTTCAGAATGGCATGGTTAACTCCATGTATAAAATGTTAGATTGTCATCCCTCTTGAGTGGATATAATGCAATGCTCAAACTTTCTCATGTATTTGTATTGAGATGGAGTAAACTATTAGTGTCACTTCAGGATAACTTTATCAAGTTCTTGTTTTGATAAAACGGCAGCCCGCTAATAAACTGGAAGTTGATTGATGGTCAGCTGATTAAATATGTTCAAATTTGGTTGCACTGAATCTTTTTGCAAACCGTTTTGTTTGCCTGTTATTTTCAGGTTAATGCTGATGCTGGCACCACCATTGAGGTGAATAAAGATGGGCAGACTTCTTCACAAAAGTTAAGACCAAGGGTCGAGAATTCCACGAATCCTGAAGACTCCACAGGACCTGTTGGACAGGTAATTCAAACTTCTTGGAATCACTAAGAGTGTGAATCCATTTGATATTTAGATTACTTTGAATCAAACATTGGAATCAAATACCCAAAAGTAAGATTCTGGCGGAAAATGTATGAATTCTTCTGAACCAAACGCCTCCTAAGAGTGTGAATCCATTTGATATTTAGAATTCCATTGAAATTAGGATCATCATGTATGTTTCTCTATGCATCCTCTTACTGTAGTCTCTTCATTGTTCTTGTCTAACACCTTCTGAGTATAGTGGATAAAACAAGTTGTGAATGAGCTTCTTTCTGCAAAATGTCACTGCTAATATTTTTTCTTCACATCAGCTGATTAAAGTCATAATCATGGTGGGCTTTGCAACACTGGTTCTCCTAACAAGAAGGACATGCAGGTATTCATGTCTTTGTTGTTGAATTTCATTCTATGATTATCTTTCTTTACCAACTTTGCCCTTGTACAATCTCTGTAGATTTTTATTGAAATATCACATAAATTCTTGTTTCCTTTTTCCCCCTAAAGAAGCTTAATTTCTTCTAACATATATTTCCATCCTTTGGGAAGAAAAAGAAATGAAAAATAAACATGAAAAAGCTACTTGTTATGCACATAAGCTGATATGTATTATGACCTTGCAGATAAAGTCAGTTGCTGAGAAATCTATGGCATTACTCAACAGTTTTGTTAATTTTCTTTTCCTTTTTGTTGAAATAATCATCATCCAGAAGTACATGTGTAAATCTATTTTTCCCCGATGGATCCTGGCAATGGCAGCTTTACTTGGAGGGTCACCTTCACCAAGTTCTATAATGGTTCAAACCAGGACCAGTGCAATGCCCACCACCCAAAACCAGTGGTACTCATAACACCAGTGTAAAAGAGATGTAAATTTGTGTTAATATTCAATCCTTAAGAAATTTCTTATTTCCATCCATATCATCCTCAGTAATGTCCTAACATTCATGCATAAATTTTGTAATAATGAATTAAATTTATTAAAATAAACAATATTTGCTCATCTTAATTAAGTATAAGGAATGTCTAGGTTCATATATTTTACCAACTTTTTTTTTTTCTAATCTAATAGTATTAAGAACACAAAATCCAATCCATACGATTCACATACTTAATTATCAAATAATATCAATAAGGGATGATTTTAGTAGGATTTTTTTTTATTGAGCGATAGGAGATTTTTGGCTTTATTCAATATATTTTTTTGCATTAATTTAAACAATTTTATTTATGTCAATTCTAATAAATTTATGAAAAATAAACAAATTTAAACTCAAAACAATAAAAACAAATATATATTTTTTATCACTTAATGCAGACATATTATGATTTCTTTTAACTGTCACCCATTTAATTAAAAGGTCCATTTTCTAATTTTGGTAAAGTTTGTGGATTTAAGCGTGATTTCAACAAACAAACAGGAACATTTTAATAATACCCAAAAAATCTAACCAGGTAAAAGCCTATATAATATTAAATCCTCCCGGCCACCCAAAACACCTTTCTTTTTCTTTTTTCCCTTCTTCTCGCTGCTTGATCTTAACCCAGCAAACGAAGAGAAATGAAAGAAAATGGCTCGCACTCTCAAAAACCCTAAAAGGGCTAAGAGAAAGAACTAGGTTCAACTGAAAAAAAAAAAAAAACAAATTCTCAATGTATTTTTAAATTCAGCTTGAATTTGGTGTTTTTTTACACTAAAATTGTAATGTAACTGGTTTATTCAAAAGGGCTCAAAGAGAGGAGGTGGATCATCAACGTCTTCGTCAGTGCCGGCGATTCAGCCAAGGGTTTGGCAACCAGGAGTCGACGAATTGGAGGAGGGAGAAGAGCTTCAGTGTGACCCTTCTGCTTACAATTCTCTTCACGCTTTTCATATTGGGTGGCCTTGTTTGAGGTATTTGTGCAGTCTTCCCATGTCTTAGTGTTTGTTTGTTGAGTAAGTAACGGGAAAAGCGAGAAAATTTGGAAAATTTTATAGAAAATTTGAAAGGGTATTTGAAAGGCGATTACTTTATATATATTTTTTGTTTTAATTTAAAATTTTGATAACTTTTGACAGCTTTGATGTTATTAGTGATTCGTTGGGTTCAGACCGGAAAGATTTTCCACATACAGTTTTGTTGCAGGGACTCAGGTGAGCTTCATTTCTTATTAAGTGTTAAGAGGTAGCTAATAATCATGGGATCAAAGAAGCAAAATTTGTCTTATATGAACCACTCAGAGGAAATAGTTTATGTTTTCGAATTTCTGTTTTGTTCATTTGTTCTCTTCTGTTCATGTTACTTAATGTTTTTCTGTAATATGTATATTGATGTTCTTGTGTATGATTTTGCAGGCAGAGAAAGCTTCTTGGAACTCTATTGGAGTGTTTAAGGTAAGTAATGTTTCGGGGAAGAGACGAGAATTAGTTCCTACCAAATATGCCGAGGATGATCCTGATATGGATGCTGAAAGTAGTGATAGTGAGGATAGTGAAGATGAAGAAGAATGTGGATCTGGTTTACCAGTTTTGCAGGCAATTTCAGGTTTCTTTCAACATCTCTAGTTATATCATCTTTGGGGTTTATTGTTACACTTATATTGTTCCTTTTTTTTTGTTCTTCTTTAAATCTGCAGTTGCAAAGAATAGCTCATCATGGATTTGTTAACCGTATACGTGCCATGACACAAAATCCTCACATATGTGCTTCTTGGGCTGATAGTGGCCATGTGCAGGTCAGACTCATAATCCAAAGAGTTGTTCGGTCTTAGTAATTTTAAATTTAATCATTAACTGATTGGCCCAAAAAAGATAATTATTAACTGAAAAAACTTTCAAAAGTGAGAAAAAATAGAATTGTGTATAATGGGGAGAGAATTTTGGAGAACAGGAAAACAGATGATGAGTAAATTCTGTTGATACTTACAAGAAACTATGAGAAAGGTAATTCACTGTTTGCCTTTCCATATCTTTTGCCTTTTTTATCTTCTTACTTTTGTGGAGAAATTATAATGCTTTTAACTTATAATATAATTCATTTAATGATTCGGAATACTAGTACATCTGTGTATCAAACTAGGGGCATGATTTTTGCTTGCTTTGCTTATTTAATATTGTTTGTTGCAGGTGTGGGACTTCAGTTCTCATCTGAATGCTTTGGCAGAGTCAGAAACGGAAGGTATCAAGGGAGCTTCTTCAGTTTTTAATCAAGCTCCATTGGTTAACTTCTGTGGCCACAAAGATGAAGGCTATGCTATTGATTGGAGCGCTATTGTTGTTGGAAGGCTTGTAACCGGTATTGTAGAGTAATAATTGTGACAAATTCTCTTTTTACTTCTCAGTAATTTTGAGCTGTCATTTGCTCTAGAGATTGAAGATGGTCTATTGTGGAGGTGATGTTATTCTTATTTTCTAGGGGACTGCAAGAACTATATTCACTTGTGGGAGCCTACATCTGATTCAACATGGAATGTTTATCCTACTCCATTCGTTGGACATTCTGCAAGCGTGGAAGACCTACAAGTGCGTAGTTTTGTTGTAAAGATAGAACCATTTTGAAGTCCTTGCATATGGTTAGACATTGTTTGCACTATCTTAATCTATTAACCATTTTCTCTATTCAACTCTTTATATGCAGTGGAGTCCAAGAGAACCTCATGCATATGTCTCCTGGATGGGACTATTGCAATTTGGGATATCCGTTTAGGGAAGTCACCAGCGGCTTCTTTCAAGGCACATGATGCAGATGTAAATGTCATCTAATGGAACAGTTATTTCAGTCCTTGATAGATTTACTTGCTCTTTCTTTTCAATCTTTTCCTTGTATCATCAAACTTTTGATTTTGTGCATCCTTGATTATTTATTTACTCAGGCTTGTTGTATGTTAGCATTGGGAAGTGATGATGGGACATTTCAATTCATGATTTTAGGCTGCTCAAGGTATGTCTATTATTACCTAGGATAGTATGTTATTATGCAAAAATAAAAGTGACAAGTGGATTTATTCTAGTGTGTGCTCATTTTTGTTTTATCTTAAATTTAATGTAATCTGGTTTATGAAGATTCTTGCCATATTCACTAGTGCTTCTTTTGCCTCGGATTGTGTTGTTTTTATTATCTTAGACTGGAAACTAAGGTTCCAAGCTTTTTCTTTCTAATTTCTAATTAAAAGATCATTTTCTAACGAACTCTAGTCAAGTCATTGACTGATTTGCTGTTGCCATTGTTGATGGTACTGATCCATGGTTTTCTGTGGACATAACGGAAATACAGTGATAGCTCATTTTAAGTACCAAAAATGCCCTGTGACATCCATTGAGTGGAGTCCACATGAAGCCTCCACTTTGGCTGTTTCGTCATCTGATAATCAGTTAACGTAAGTACTTTTAAGGCACTAGAATACGGATGCTAAATGTTGGACTTTTGAAGATCTCTCTCTCTCTCTCTCTCTCTAGATTTTGTTAATTGATGTATGTTTTTTATTTTCTTTTGCTTCAATTTCCAGAATATGGGATCTTTCTTTAGAAAAGGATGAGGAAGAGGAAGCAGAGTTCAAGGCTCAAACAAAGGAGCAAGTAAATGCCCCAGAAGATTTATCTCTGCAACTTCTTTTTGTCCATCAGGTACTTAATCGGAGTATTAAAATTGAAGATGCTTGCTGACTTTTATCTTTTAACACACTTTCTACTATGAACAGGGGCAGAAGGACTTGAAAGAACTTCATTGGCATGCTCAGATTCCTGCAATGATTGTGTCAACTGCAGCAGATGGTTTCAACATCCTAATGCCTTCAAATATACAGAGTACTCTCCCCTCCAATGGCTCTTGAAAAATGACTTGGTTCTATGGCGGTAACGAATGAACCAGCAGCTGATTCGAATCATATATCAATACATGTATCTTTTTCTCTATTTTTCCCCCTTGGTGCACAGGAGTGAAAATATTGTTGCTCCAAAGGGTTTTTTTTTTTTAACTGAAGGTTGCTTTCAATATTTTATTTGTTATTTATTTCCTAGTATCATCTGTTATGAAGAATCTCAATGTTCGAACCTAAATCATTCGAACCATTTGTAATATATAGTTAGTACTTAATGTTATTTTGATCAAAACAAAATTCAAAATAGGGAATAACTGTTACTAATCTGAGATTGGGCTGTTGAGAAAAGTAATTCATCAAGCAGACATAGCAAGAAGTTAAGTAGAACATAAACATGAGGACATGAAAAGGAGTTTTATTACCAAAGAGCAAAGAAGCTCTGTATTGACATTAGGAACGGCAACGTTCTAAATTGGGGCAGTCAAACTTTAAAATTGTCTTATATTGGACCCATACTGCATCAGAGCCGCACAACTGGACAGTGAAGTAATACCTGCCGTCCGCTTATTCTTCGGTGAATGGAATATTACCAATGGCAACGTTAAAGTGGCTTTAAAAAAGGTTGAAAAATCTTCTTGGTTTTTTCTTCAACTGGACTCCATTGGTCCACTTCACCTTCCTAGATGGAGACTAACTTGAGCGACTTGCGAGCCAACCATCGTTGAAACACCTCAAGTTCTTGTATTCTACTCTCCAATCTACCCCTTATCATTATACCTTCAAGTTTTCTTGTTCTCGATCTCTCTTTTCTTTGTCCCTGTTGCCTTGATTTCACAGAAACTGTGGAGAAGGCAGAAGAAGGAATGATGGGTTCTGATCCATTGAGTCAGATAAAGCCAATACCAATCCCAACCCAAGAAGAAGATCCTTCAAGCCAATCCGCAGCTCTCCTTTCTTTCGACACTGATTCTTCTTTAGACCCTTCAGCAAATGAACATCCTTCAAAGCCAAGGACCACTGTTGTCTTCATTGCTTTAATACTCCTCACTTGCATTGCTCTTTCCGCTGCCTTTGCCTTTGCCTTCCTCTTTTACACTTCTTCCTCTTCATCATCTTCCTCTTCAGCTACAGCGCACAGCTTCTCTCGTCCTTTGAAGAAACTGGAAAAACCGGTGGTTCTTTTGGTTTCCTCTGATGGATTTCGATTTGGGTACCAATTCAAGACCTCAACACCGAACATCCACCGTTTGATTGTTAATGGGACTGAAGCTGAGATGGGTTTGATTCCTGTTTTCCCTTCTCTTACTTTTCCTAATCATTACTCCATAGTTACTGGCCTTTATCCTGCTTATCATGGTATTATAAATAACCATTTTTTGGATCCTAAAACTGGTGAGGTTTTCACTATGGCAAGTCATGAACCCAAGTGGTGGTTAGGTGAGCCTCTTTGGGAGACTGTGGTCAATCATGGGTTAAAGGCTGCTACCTTTTTTTGGCCTGGAAGTGAGGTAAAAAAGGGTTCTTGGAATTGTCCTGAAAAGTTTTGTATGGACTATAATGGTTCTGTTCCTTTTGACGATAGAGTTGATACTGTTTTAAGTTATTTTGATTTGCCTGCTAGTGAGATTCCTGTGTTTATGACATTGTATTTTGAGGATCCTGACCATCAGGGTCACCAGGTTGGACCTGATGATCCCGAGATTACTGAGGCTGTTGCTAGAATTGATAGAATGATTGGGAGGTTGATTGATGGTTTAGAAAAAAGAGGGATTTTTGAGGATGTTACTATAATTATGGTTGGAGACCATGGGATGGTTGGTACATGCGATAAAAAGCTGATTTTCCTTGATGATTTGGCGTCTTGGATTGAAATTCCGGCCGAATGGGTTCAGTCTTATAGTCCGTTGCTTGCGATTCGTCCACCTCCCGGTTATGCACCGTCAGATGTTGTTGCAAAGATGAAAGAAGGATTGGAATCTGGGAAAGTTGAGAATGGGAGGTATCTGAAGGTTTATCTTAAGGAGGAGCTACCTAGTCGGCTACATTATGCAGCTAGTGACCGGATTCCTCCCATAATAGGGCTGATTGAGGAGAGTTTTAAGGTGGAGCAGAAAAGGACTAAGCGAAAAGAGTGCGGAGGATCACATGGATATGACAATGCTTTTTTCTCCATGAGGTCCATTTTTATTGGTCATGGTCCTCAATTTGCAAGGGGGAAGAAGGTGCCATCTTTTGAGAATGTTCATATATATAACTTGGTAACATCAATTCTCAAGATACAGGGTGCTCCCAATAATGGGTCTTCAGCATTTCCTGTGTCTATTCTTTTACCTAGCCAGTAATAATTATCTCTTAAGCATGTTTCGAGTGATCCTAACTGCTGAAGTATGGTGTAGAAGTTGGCAAGATGACAACTGCAAGGCCAAATGACTATCTGTTCACCCATGCAGATAATTTTGAATGCATATATCAGTGCCGTAGCCAGAAAATATATTTAGTTGGGTTATACTTTAAAATGATACGTTTATGTTGGAAAAACTTGTATGTCAAATTCACTAGTTCTAAATTTACAAAAAATTAGTATATGGCCTTATTTCGATAAGTTAAATACAATGACAATGAGATATTATATCATGCCTATAGTATAAACTTCCATAAGTTTTATGGATTAAGTTGGAGTTTTGTGCAATGCAATGACAATGACAATGAGCTGCATGCACCATGTCATATGGAATTCATGTTACTATTTTATGCAATGCTGTTATGATGTTTTAAAAGTATAGTTGAACTACATCGCAGAAGAGCAAAGTATTCTGGCATTGTTCTCTCTGCTTCTGCCCCTTCCTTGGACAAGGCCTAGGTTGCTCATCTAATTTGGTGTCTTTCTTCTAGTACATATCTTGGATCTTGGAAATTGGAATTCACAATTAAACTAAACCAAATAATTTAGAAGCTAGTTGTTTCAATGTATGCGCTGTCTTGCATGGAGACCAAATTGCTAAGCTTCTTGAGCTTTGATTTTATTCTCCCTTGCATCATATCTTTTCGTTTTGTGGGATTAATCGTATCATAAGATTCTAATAGCAAAACATATTCTAATCTCCTCTGTAACTCTAAGCAGTTCCTTATCAGGGCTCAGGCAAGGTTTTCATGATTTGCTACGTTCTTATTGAAAAAAAATGAATATTAAATTGTGGGATCTTCTTGGAATTGATGCTATCTAGGAGTACAGATTCTTTGACATGGAAGTGGTTTCCTAAGAATTTTTATAATGACAAAACTTGGAATCTTTGATTCTTTTGGGATGCAATTGGGTTTCCCCCTTTATTTTACTTTATTCTGCATGATTGACCTCTGTCATTCCTGTGAAGAATGAAGAAGAGTTACGGTACTGATGTTTGTCGATGAAACTCTCAGCATAATTGATAAGGGCCATTCATAATGTCTATTGATTTATTGTTAAGTTCAGAGAATCGTGAAAACAAGTTTTTTAATATTCAGTTCTTCTATTTGCTTGGCTTAGGTCTTTTTGTGGTGAACTGAAAGCCAGAGCGAATAGTAGTTAAATAGCACTTTGATATTGATATATTCTCTCATTAGGAAGATGTCAGAGCCATGTTGCCGAACTCTCCTTCTGGTTCAAGTTATGCTTTTAGCATATCCTCATGGCATTTTTTTATGCAGATATGGTAATTTTAACTAATAAATACGACAAGGTGGTAGATACGAAAATGAAAAAAAACGATAGTGACAATAATACAAATAATACAAGGTGGAGGAAGAGCCTGATTAATGCATACGTTTCCAATGGTTTCATGTAAAACAATCAGTCATCGTTTTACACATCAATAAGACATTAATACTTGGATTTAAAGCAATGCTGAGTTAAGGAGTAGATCAAGGGATCAAAGTTCACAACAAAAGTTGATGTCATGATCAAGAAATTGCTTCAGATCAAATTTATGTCGAATCGTCTTGCTGGGTGCTATAAGACAAAAGCAAATGGGCAACAAACATTACAATTGCAATAAAAGAACAAATTTTATCTGATTGAAATTAGCATGTGCTTAACACATAAAACCAAAAAAGTTATACAAGATGTTGTTACTTTTTTGTTATGTTCTGGGAAATAATTTGAACATTGCTTCCATAATTTGCGACAGTTCCTTTTCTTGAAGCATCAGTATGGGGTTGTTTATACTCTTACAATATTAGCGAAGGTTGGCTTTCTGGGTCTTCTTATTTCCAACATGATCTTGTTGAACCATTACTTTTCTATGCATTTTCACAACATCCTTGGTGGTTTGATTATTCACTTTCCTCTCAGACTCAGTCTGCACCAACTGCATGCTTCTGTAGCTGCTGATATTGTTTAAGGTTATGTTACATCATCAGCAACATGTTTTAAGGGAGGCATTCATGTGCTTTTATACTTAAAATTGTGTTTCTGTTAAATTAATTTAACGTTAATTTTATGTTGAAATTAATTGATGGGAGAAAAGTGGAGGTTTCATATAGTTTTTGATGGCTTTGAGTCGGGATTTGGCTGGTTTTAGCATTGAGCATATGCAGTTGTTGCTGGAAGTTATAACTAAAGTGCAAATCCTTGGCTTTAGGCTGCTTCACAGAAGGAACTAAATTTGGACTGGGCTGATCCGACGTCTTGGTCCATGTGCTCTGAACGGTGGCACCTGTTGCGTTTTGCAAGAAGTGCTAAGGCTCTCTTTGATAAATTAAAAAATTAAGTGCTGATAAACTAATTATTTAATTTTTAATATTAATTTTGATAAGTATTGATTTTGAATTATAAAATTTGTTTATATTTTATTGAAAATTAAATGTTGAATATAAATATATTATTTAATAATTATAAAATATTAAAATTTGAAAATTTATAAATTTATATTTTTATCTCATTTTCGTTATTATAATAAAGTAATATTTTTAGGAGATAGTAATTCAAAAAATATTAAAAGAAAACTTTATTAATTGTTTTTTGCGTTGAGTAATAAGTAGGTCTTTATTTACTTATTTTATTGGTAAAATGATAAAAACCAATTAAATAAAAATTTAATAATTATATAAGCTCGTATTTTTTATTACAATAAATTAAGTCATCAAATATCTATTTTCATCATTTAAAAAAAATTAAGCCCTAAAAAAATCTTGTAAATTTTTTAAAAAATACTTTTAGAATTTATGGTTCTCAATAAAACCCATTTAACCATTACCATATCAATCTAACAAAAAAATAATTTTATTTATTTTTTTTAGATTCCAACAAAACCCATAAATTTAATTTAGGAAAAACATCTCATATTTCGAAAAATTTTCACAATTTTACAAGAAAATCACGATTTATAATTCATTTACAAATTAATAGATAAAAAATGTAATTTGAATAAAAAAGCATCGGATTGTAGTATGTAAATTTTAAATTTTTTTATTAAAAAGTTTTTGGATATGCAAATCGGAAATTTTTTTCAATTTTTAAATTTATAAATCTGAAATTTTAAAAATAAAAAAAGTAATTAAATGATTTTATTTTAAAATAATTTTAAAAATAAAAAAAATGAAATACAAATAACAGCTCTCCTTCTAGAATGATGTAAATGACAGGCATCTAACTTTTCCATTTTAGGATGATAAATCAGTTGATACGACCAGCATCGGACTTTTTATCACAATAAAGATCATTTATGGTTGGAACGGTCCAAATTACACACAAATTCATTTGAACCCAATGTTAGGTGCTGCATTTTTTCAGCCATTTTGACCATCTTTCTACATCCATTACAATTAGGTGTAGGTCTTCGTTCCCTAAATTCAGACGGAATTAGGATAATTAGGAGATATTTTATCTGGCACAGGGGTGTAAGTAGAAGATTAGATTCTAGAAGCTTCCTGTTATTTATATATATATATATATATATATAAAATTCGAAATTCAAAACACTTATCATTTTTAATTTTTAAAAATTTATATCTAACACTTTTAAAAATTAAAATTTTAACATTTGTAATCAGGTCATAATTTTATTTTTTTTTTAAATGCTTGTCAAAAACAAACTCATGGATGTGATCTTTTACAAATTTGGAGATGGTATAGAGGTCTTAACTGCCAGAATCAGATCTGAAAATGATGAAAAGTTACCGGTTTGCTTTCGGCATCTAAGAAGGTCGATATCTAGTAATTTCCCCCGGTTAATGGTAATTCAAAATTCACTGTAGGCAGCTGGCTGGCACTTGCCTGGCAGCAATATATGTGAAACCCAGCAAGGAAATAAAAAGGAGAATAGTAGTGCAGAGATGTAGATAAATTTGAAGGCAAACTTTAATGTTCTTTTTGTTTCCTTCTTGCTGGTTTTGCCTTTCTTGTGTGAATCCTTGATCTAGTGCTCCGAGTTGGGTCTACAATTTTGTACTTTCTCACTTTTTTTTTCTTTTATTAAAATCACAATATTCAGACAAAGCCAAACAGAAGAATCGACACTTTTGGTGGTTAAGAACTATCAATTTCCACCTTGTTTGAACCTACAACACTTGATCTATCATTCATCACCAATTTCACCATTGCCATCTAGCATCAAGTGTACAACTCCAAGTTACTACTGATCTGCTGTAGCCTGTGTGAAAGTGAAACTGCCCTAGACTATAATCACTCTTTCTGATAATAAATTCTATAGATCATGATAATCACCAAGTTTCTTGTCCTACCAAACTGAAAAAGTTAAAATAAAGAGAAATTTACTGCATCAAAACAAGGCCTGGCACTTTGAGAGGCCATTAAGAAGAGTTCCAAGTATATGAGATTAATAACAACACATTTGGGTGATGATGATGGTAGATCACTAGATCTCGACAACTACATACATATAGTTCAGTAAAATGTGTCTCAAACGAAGATGAAATGTTGGAATTTCATGGCCGCAGGATCCTCCACCCACCAATCAAAACCACAACTGGAAAATGGACCCATTTTCATACAATGATAATTGATACCAGTCCAGTCCAAAAGTGAAATGGGAATCTCATGTTTGCCTCTCTTTTGAATGCCTTTTACCAACCAAAAACTTTTAAAAGAATCATCAGCTTTCCTGCTTTTCATGTCTCATTTATGCAACAGTTCCTACACCTCATCTAAGTCCACTGAACACCCCCAACAGAACAGAGAAAAAAAAACAAAACAGGAGGCAATAATTCAAGTTGAAGAAGATACTACTGAGCATCAGAAAGATTAAACTTTTATCAACTTGCTGATTTACATTTTCATGCTTGGTTTCTTAAACCGAGTTTGTTTCTTTTTTTATTTCTTCTAGAAAAGATAAAACAAAGGCATTATCTTTTCATCAATTGATCCATAAATTCAACTACTACAAATGCTCATATAAGCATAAATTATACTTGGTACTTTTTCAACAAGTTTGTTTACAATGAAACACCTTCAACTCAGACTTTGGTGAAATACACTGCAAAAGCAGCCTTGCGGTATGTTCTTGTTTGATAACAGCATCCGCTTTCTCCACCAAAACCGCCCCAACAATCCTCTCATACCCTCCTCCGCTACCGCTCGCCACGTAAGCCACGAGCGCCGCCTGAGCGGGCGGCAAACTCGGATTATAAGCTGCCGATTCCATGTAAGACCCTTTATATATGTTCCCTTCGACATCCAACAAAGCCACCCCAGATGGACACCCGCTGTAAGGCGCGTGTGACATATTCGCCGCATCAAGAGCAGCGTATTTTAAATCATCGTCACCGTTGATTTTGCCGTTGCATAAATCGGAGCAAAACGACAAGCCGTTTCGATGAGGCTCGAGGAGAAGAGGAACCTCTTTTTCTAGCAAATCATCTGGGCCGAACCTGTGAGGTAACAAATGAGATAAAGGAGTAAATTCATGGTCTTTATCATTACAATTATTGTTTATTTTGTTTTCTTTTTCGTCTTCGGAGGAGGTTATGAGGATCTTGACGTCGGGGGCACCACGGAGCTCTTGGAGGAATTGGCGGCAATGGCCACAAGGGGCGGAGGAGACGGCGAGGTATTTGAGACGTGGTTCCGCATTGAGGGAGAGGTTGGTGATGAGGAATTGCTCGGCGTGGACGGAATGGTTGAGTGGAAGACCCGGGAATTCCAGATTGGCTCCGAAGAAGATTCGCCCAGACGACCCGAGTCCGACTGTTCCGACGTGGTAGTTCGAGATTGGCGGGCGGGCTAAGGCCTGGGCGGATTTGACCAAGGACGGGAGGACTTGGAGCACGGTTTTGCCTGATCGTTTGGCAATTTGTTCGGCTTCGGCGGAGTCGATTACGAATCTGGATCGATCCATTTTGGGAGAAGAGTTGTTGGGTTGACCCGTTTGAAGAGGGAGGGCCGTGATTTCGGTGATTTTTTGACGACGACGAAAGTTCCTGGAAATGAGGAAGAAGGAAGGGAGAAGAGGAAGAGGAAGGTTTTGAGGGAGGATTATTTATATTGGGAATTGGTTTATGGCAGTCATGAAACAGTAATTAATTACTTACTACAGCAACTTTTACTGTAACGACTATTTCTAGTAGTAGTTTTTTGAACTGCTTAACGGTGGTAAATTTTGCCTAGTTGAGCGATCCACGAGATTAGGGAGGTAAAATTAGGCTGACTAAAAATTGATTTGAATTGATTAGATTCATTAAAATTAAGTAAATTCGGTTTGAATTTGTTTAGTTTATTTGATTTTAGTTGTAATTAATTTTAAAATTTATTAAATTAATTAATTCGATCGATTTTTTATTTTTAAAATTAATAATTAAATTGATCGAATTAATCGATTTTTTTAATAAGTAAAGTTTAAAAAATTAAAATAAATATTTTTATTTATTTTTTTTGTAAAATATTATTGAAATTATTAAATTTTTAGTTATTTAGTTTAATAATACTTGAGTTTGAGTTTTATTGAATTGAATTTGTGATTAAATAATTATTTATAATAAAAAAATAATAAAAAATCGATTATTTAATTGAAACGATCAAATTGAACTGATTTTGATCGGTTCGGTTATGATCGATTATTTAATAATATTTGATCGATTTGATTATCTATTAAATAAAAATCAATTAAATTGATTATTAATTTTTTTAAACCGAACTAATCGATTACTTACTTCTAGGCAAAAAGACCTAAAATTGAATGCGAAGGGGTGTAAAACTGTAAATTAAGAAGTTTATATTTTATATATTATTAGTATATAAATCATATATATTATCAATTAATTAGATGATATTAATTTATTAATAAAATTTTTTCATATTTATCTTAAAGATTAGTAAAATACACAAAAAATTATTAATTTATTAATATATTGATATCATTTAATTTATTAATAATACATAAAAATATATTTCTCAATAATATATCAAAGATAGACTTGTAAATTAATTAAAATTAAAATTGAAATAAATTGTTGCCACTCCTTCGAAAATTAAGCTCATTCCTTATTAGAAAAAAAAATTGTACTAGTCCTTTGAATCTTGGTTATGTTTGTTTATATAAATTTACTTTCTTCTTTGTTTAAATATGTGATCACCTATATACTCATGTTTTTTTTTTATTTAATCTTAGAATTAAAAACCTAAATTGATTACAATTTGATTATAGAAACAAAGAAGACAAATCCAATTTTATAAGTGTAACCATTTTAGAATTTAATATACTATTAATATTTTGACTGTTACATTTAATAATATAATCGTACATATGTATAAGATATGTAAAATTTCAAATGAATTTCATATTTTTTATCACATCGAGAGTATTATTTTTTCAATATATATTCATTGGTTTACTTTTTTTTTTTTACAACGAATAAATAATTCAAAATTTGATATGTATGATTTACATAAATAATATATAAAATAAACGATCAAATTAAACAGATATAAATCATATAAAAACTTACGAAAAAATATAAAATTAAAGTAGCTTTACACTAATATAAGCGAATCATCCTCTTTTTTCTTTTAATAATTATAGTCAATACTTTAGTAAGAGATACGTACATTTTAATATAACTTTCATACTTTGATACCAAATTCTAATTATGCAAGTTGTTTTAACATATTGTACATGTGCCATGTTTATTAGCACTGAAGAAAAAGTTGGGAAAGGAACAAATCCGAATTGGTTGTATTTTATAAAGGTAAGACATGCCTTACATATAAAAGATATGCCCAAAATATTGGTTGATTCCACCATCAGTTTTTCAATTTTCAAGAATTCTATTTTAAGAAAAGTCATTTTAAAGGTGCTGGATTTTTTTGGTCAGAAAGAGACACAAAAAGGATTTGTTGTGTGAAAGCAATAAACTCAGTCAATGAAACAAAAACTATGGGCTATCGATTGATTTATAGCACGTAAGCAAGCTTGGAAATGGAAATAAATACGATTTTTTTTTTTTTTTACAAACCATCTTATAGTTTGGAAAAAACAAGTTTTAAGATTTGAAATTTCGAAAAATATTATGATTTACATGAATAAATTAAATTAAAGTTTAATTTAAAAAAAAAAACTGTGAATATAAAAACACTGGAAAGGAATCCATGACTTTTTGACTTTTTTTTTTAATGTTCCTTTACATCTACAGTATTGATAAGATTCAATTATCAAGTCAGCTTCCAACATGTTAGATGCAACCAAACAAAGGAATCACAGCCCCTAGGAATAATTTATCTAATCTATCAAACTCCGTTTTTGAACTGGTTTAATAATTCATCATTAGCTGGTACAATTGCATGGTTTTCTCCTTTTCCCTGTTCATGAGGGCAGCCGTACAGCCATGAATTTTAACCATTTACTATTTTGTTTTTGTTATAGTTTCCACTGGAGAGGCTCGGCCCAGGACAATCATTTCATTTTTGCATGATTAGTTTTTCTTTATTTTCTAGTACACCAGCTTTAGTGAGGAATGAGGGCTACATATATACAGGTCTTTTCCATGGGGCTAGTGGGTCTTTTTTCTGGAGCATGTTTGCCACTCAATTCGCATGATTCGTGATGGAAAATGAGAACTTCTCCACATGCAAAGCAACCATGCTAAAGAACCGTATGCTTATTGTCAATTGATGCTGACATTGGATTCACACTTTACACTTACCATTGGAATTCTTTAGCTTAGTTGCTGCTAGCTTGCAAGCATTTGTTTATTCTATACTGATAAATGCCTATTTGGAATAAGACAAAAATTTTTTAATAAAAATTCAATAATCATTTAAATATTTAATATTTTATTACAATTAATCAATTTTAAAAATTTTTTATTTCAAATCTGTTGAACCTTTAAGTATTTATTTTTAATTTAATTGAGTTTACAATTAAATAAAAATTGATGTTGATGATTTATTAATTTTTTTGTAATAAAAATTTAATCAGTAAAAATAAATATTTAAAGACCTAATTGATTGAAAGGAGCTTGAAAGATTATTAAATTTTACCCGACGACCTTAGAATAAATATGCTAGGCTTTCTGACGCTCAAATTGTACCATGGCGTGGTTTCTCTGCAGCTGCCTGGTGGCCCCTCATCTTTACCTACCAATTGAAGAAGATGGTATTGCCCTGGTTAATTTGGTTGTATGCGTTGGTAGATTTAAGTACTGATTAGTCTATTTTTTTTAAAAAATTATTTATTTATGTTTTGTTTTCAAAGAGTTGAATTGATTTGAAAGAGAAGAAGATAGCAATTCTGTCCGTATTCTATTTTCAATTTTCCCGAAGTCGCCACTATTTTGATCCACGCAATTGTTTGGGCCTATGAAGCTTGATGGTAGCGTTCACAAATTCCAAATCATGAGTTCATTTTTTGTCGATTCAGTAATGATCTTGGGTTCATTTTCTTGTACGTTAAAGGCTTTTGAACTTGGGAAGTTTGATCCTATCCCACATCCATTTTGCCAATGAGGATTCCCCAGAGACATCCACTAGGCAATTTGGACTGAGTCAATGAGATGTCTGGTCGGCACTGGAACAACATGGAGATGACATTTTTGGGTTAGATGGAACTCATGTTAGTTTCTTAAAATGCTTCTATGTTCAAGGATCATTTTGTGGCAATGTTCAGAATTTGGCGGCTCAATTTGTCCCGTCGAGAAGGACATCCACGATAACCAAACGTGAATTACTAATGTAAGGTCAGACCCCAAATACTACAAAACCACACTCTTGTCTGAGGACTTGATCACACCGCACGACAACCTTGACTCTGTCATCGTCAACATAACACCCCATCACTATTAATCGTACAGTTGCTAATGTCCTAAGTGCCTGCTATCATTTCCCAAGTAGCAGCAGATAAATGTACAAAAACGAGATGATGTCAAAGATGGCACACCTCGGACTTCAACTGCAACAAAGGTTCCCTGTCTTGGCTGTTGTTAGTTATTCTTATTTGACTTCTGCCGCCGTTATTTCTGTTTATAGTCTTTCAAGTAAGGTGAAAAAATGGAACAATGGTGGTACACTGCCTAGTAGGCTAGTGCTGGGCTAAGGGTCTTCATTTTGGACTCAGTACATGAACATGGTTGCCAATTGCAAATCTTTCATTGCTTCTGTAAGGCAAAAGGGTGCTGTTGAACAGGTGCATTTTTCAATGGTTACTAGTTCTTTCTGGGTTTTTTTTTTTTCTTGCACTTTGAATTATGTTGGCGGATTATGAAGGAGTTAAATTTTGAAACGTAGTCCAATTTGCAATATCTATTGATTGGGGATTCAGGAATATGACAAGTTGTCTTTTTATAGCTTTCCGTTATTTCAATTTTAGAACGCAATTTCTAAGCTTTTTAAAACGGATACGTATCAAAATGAAGAAAAAAAAATCAACTAAATAGTTGATGCATAATCATCATAAAGACTAAGTTGATTGGGTTTTGAAGTTGACTAATTGCTTGATTGTTCTTGACCAATAATAAAAAAAAGATTTTGCACCTTCTGAATTGTATGGGACAAAGGGGGAAAGGTATGAAACCCATGAGCCGACCATTGTCTTAACGCTATATTTCATCACTAAATTTCAAATGGAAAGTATTGTTCTCTCTGAATGAGATGCCAAATCCCCTCACTTTACTTCACAGGTGTTGCAGAATGTGGAATGGCCAGAACAGTTCCCCTTCAAGGATGAGGATTTCCAACGCTTTGATGAGTAAATAATGCATATCTAATTTTGCTGCTTAAATTGAATTCTATGTTAAATTTCTGCTTTCCTTGAGTTTATTCATCTAATTTTCTTTTCATGCTTTGATTACTCCATGGATTAATTTCTTTGCTGCTGTTTCTTACTCACCATCTTCATGATGATTACTCACCTTTTTGATTGCTGATTGGAGATTGGAGAAGTAAATTTTGAAGCATCTCTTACCAATTTTAGATGAATGAGGGTTGTTGATGTGACACATGTTTGGCAAAACCCTTTGTTCAAACTACAGAGAAAGTAACATGATTAAAACATGAGTGTGTTGAATCTGTAATTTCTCCTACACCAAGGGCTTTATGTTTCAATCTAGCACTTCCGTAATTGCTGCCTATATCTCACGTTACTTCCTCTAGACTTTGCCAGATTGAAATAGAAAACGAAGTTCATTTGTACTGTTAAACAAACAGCAAAACTCACAGCACTCCCTAACCCATCCTTGCATATATCATCCTATATTATACCAATTACAGGATTCAATGCTTCAATCAAGCAGATGTTATTTAGCTATGCTTTGCTTCAATCATTTCAAAGTTTTTCATCCTCAATGTTAAGCATATTGACCAGGTTTCAGATTTTCATAGCTTTAATACACCTTTTGATATGTTTCAGATCACCAGATTCATTATTCTATGAAGCTCCACACTTTGTTACACGTATTGATGATCCAGCCATTGCTTCAGAGGTTTTTCCTCCCAGCAATACTCCAGGAGTTAGCATATTGGATATGTGCAGCAGTTGGGTAAGACATTCTAAATGTTGATGTAAATCCATGTGCATTCATATGAGCATATCCAATTCAAGGTACCCAAGTTGATGGTAGACTCTTATTTGATCCTTTTTTTTTAAAAAAGGAATTTCACTTCTATCTGCAGGCTGTTGATATAACTCCTAATCCTGGACGCTCAGATCCTATGTATATTGTTTACTCTTGGAATCTCTCTCCTGCTTAAGAAGCTATCAGGCTGAAGATTATGAGAAATTTCTTCCAATCAATGAGCTCCTTTTTTGCAATTTTGGGAAGGGAAACAAATTGTCTCACATGTCTAAATCTAAAAACTACAACCTGGAAGCTTAATGCACATCTTGATGTTGTAAGTTGTAACCCTGAAAACCCCTTTTTTTCCCGATGCACTGCACCTTTATCCCGCAGCTTCTTGTTTCTTAACATTTCTTGTTATTATCAAATTACAAGAAATTTTTAGAACATCAAAAAGGCATTGATTCCCCACTCGGTGATGTCGCTGCTTTTTTTTCTTTCTTGAGTGCGTGTTTGTGCATGCCTATGCGCCTTTGAAAGGGTCGCTCTCGCTCTGCTCTCCCAACATATTGTCACATTTCACCTATCCAAGAACATTGTATTTGTTGTAAAGACTTTTCAAATGGAAGAATCTTATGCTCGTGAAAAGATGATAATTTTTTAGATTCTATTCTCGTTGCTTAGTATAATAAGCACTTGAAACCTCATTTGGCCTTTCCTCACTGTCGGTCCATACATTTTCTAGATAAAAACAGAACATTGGAATATATGCACGACATTACTGACAACAGACCCATTCAACAAAAAGATAACAAAAAATAGAAAAACTAACCAAATTCCAATGAGAATCGGAAAATTGAGGTTTCCAAAGATTTTTATTTGTTTTTTTTTTAAGTCCAACCCCGTTTGTAGCTGCGGAAGAGATCCTCCGTTTGGGCATTCTTGAAGGCACTGCAGGCAATGATATAGACCCATATCAGTACCACCACTGCCACAATGAGAATTATGTTGGCTGTCCTCCATTCTTTCCTCAGGTTCCCCAGCAGACCAGCCTTGCATGAGTTGCAGTTATAGCAGAGTTGGGTTTGGTCATTGCTCCATAGATAGCAGTCAGGGTCTCCAGTTGGGTTCACTGGGCTCGTCCACAAAGTTGGGTTCACAAAAGTGTAGCCACATACTGTTGGAGGCTTACAACATCCTGACTGTCAAAAAGAACAATAGAACAAAAAAGACTTGAACTAATCAGAAAACAACAATAAAAAGGCAAAAGGGAAAAGAGAGACCTCCCCACTATGCAATATTCGCATTGTCACCATATATTGCCAAAGCTGGCAACCATAACCTTCATTTTTTTTTTATCTTCTGCAAATAGACTATAGAGACAAAGCTATTACCTTATTAAAATGGAGAATTTTTTAATCACGTCAAAATCCCATGATTTCATGCTAATAATTCACATGGTAGGGGTTTACTTCATTGGCACAAACTTCTCCAACACACAAAATGAAATTTGCGTTGCCCCACGCCAGACAGGATGTGCCTGATTCTTTCTGATGCATTATCAAAAGCTTTGATTTCAGCTATGATGAACGTAGCAAAAAGTTGTGCTGATGATAATCTTGTGGATCAAATTGATCCATCCATGGGGCCCAGGCCAATAATGAACAGTAGCATCATTATTTACCCTAAATTAAACATCAAGCCCATAATAGTGGGTCCTACTTTGTATTATTTAAGATGAAGTGGGCCCTGCTTTAGGACATCAAGTCACACCCTAATGTCCTATTCCAGCAACTTGCCGTGAGGCCAATTATATCGCCATAACCATCAAGAAAAGGATCTTACACCCAATCGCCATTGGGAAAATAAGTAAAGAATAGGGTAAACAAAATTTCTGTTTAATGTAGGAAGATAGAAGGCACCTAATGAGAAAAAAAAAATTTCAGCACCTACATAATAAAATGATTAAGGTTTAACACATTTTTAATTTTATTTTTTAAATATTCCTATCTAAGATTTTGTTAACAATTAAAATATTAAAATATAATTAATCAATATGATAAAGATATATCATTATTTACAACAAAATAATGAATGAAAATGACATTTCTTTGATTTTAAGTTTAATAAATGAGTTTAAATCTTTATCGTTTGAAAACTGTTCAATCAATAGTTGACATATTTATGGAATATTTATGAAAAAAAATTAGACGATGTTTCTTAGATCTAAATTTCCCCCAAAGACTTAGCAGCAACCATTAAGAACGTGCCACATTATTTTATGCTATATTCTTAGAGTGAGGAAAGTGAAGATCTAAGGACCAGTTTGGTTGTCTGAAAAACAAGCTCTTCTATTTTTCAGATGAATAGCAATGAACAAATTCTGTTTATGAATGGCTTTCATGTACCAAAGCTTATGAAATTGTTTAAAAGTGTAATGGTATCTTCGTTAAAGTATCACGAAAAATTAAGAAATATGGCCATAATTGAAAGGAAAAGTTGTACAAAACAGAGCTTGGACTTGCCTGAAGAGGAGAGATATGAGCGGCAAAGAATTGATCAGCAGTGATATATTTTTGAGTCAACTTAGGACAAACATCGGTGTCAGCTAGACAAGCCCTGATCTTATTCCAGCTCTTGGAGTCAACTACGTGGTTTCTAAGCCAACTTGAGTACCCATCGAGCCTATACTCCTTGTAACCCCTTCCAGGCACATCGTAGCTCCCATCAGGCCTTGTAACTATGAAAGCAAAGACCAACAGGATGAGGAGGAGACCTATGAGGATGGCCATGCAACAAAGATAGAAGGCCAGGAGTGTTTCCTTGTACCGGTAGGCACCGACGAAGCCAGCAAGGGAGACGAAGAGGATGAGGAAGCCAAGGAGAACGACAGGCCATCGGAAAAGGTGGATACAACCGTTGTCAGGCTTTTGGGCTAGCCAGATGCCAGCTGCAATGATGGGGATGGAGCATATGAGTGCTACGAAGTTGAGAACTGCTGTTATGTTGTTGGCTACTCCCATATTTGGTTCAAGGAAAAGAAGAAGAAAGAGAAAGGAGTTTGGACAATGGAGAGTGGTATGTCTGAAGATTGGGTTTTTGTGCTATTTTGGCCTTTTTATCAGTACGGTAGTTTTTAACCTGTTTTGGTGTTGGAACGGGGAAAATGGTAATTTTGATTGGATTAGATTACATATATTTGTACATATTATTATAGCTTCTGCCTTCAGGAATGTCTAAAGTGAAAAGCATTAGTAACTGTTTTAATGGCTCAGAAGTTAGAAACCAGTAAACATGTTAATCATAATTACCTTAAAAATTCCCAACCAATCTGTGTGATGTTACCATGTGATTTTTTTTTTTGCAGGAATTATTTTTATCTCTGGCTTTGATTTCTCCTTTTTAAACAGGAAAAGTTGTTGAAAAGTCAAAATCATGTTCCACCAGGCTGAAGAAAACAAGTTACAAAAAGGGTTTAGACAAGGGAAAATTGAGGTCGAGTTAAAGGCCAGGCCATTCTGTTTTGATAAAGACAAAAGTGTCTTCTGTCTCTTTTGACTCTCACAAATCACAATTTTATCTAATCTACTGCCACTGGTTAAACAAATTTCTTCAATTCAATGGCAAAGTCTTGTGATTTCTGGGAAATTCCCCCTAATTCCAGTTTCTAATGGAGCTATTCTAATTCATTACAAATGAAGTTTGACCAATTGACAAGATAAACCGTCACTGGTAGATACAAATGTTTAGAAGTACTACTACTTATGGTGGCAATTTCCATATACAAATCTAAATCAAGTAATGCATAGCAATTGGCATAGACATGAACAATCTCGTCATTCCCTGAACTTGACCGCTCAAATCTCTTGTTTTAATATTAAGCAAAGGGGAAACTAGGAACTCAAAGACCGTGTTTGATGACGGATAGCTTAGCACATGCTTCCGATTTACGCTTCGAGGAGGCTCTTCCCACGGCGTCGCCATGTGGCACGTTGCCTTTGGATCCCACACTTTGAACGCTTTTTACAAAATTCGAACCAAGAAAAACCCCAGCAGCAACCCGACTTGCAGTAGCTCAATTATTACATGCCACGTTGTGACACATATCAAAGCATGTGGCATAGAGTTACTTCTGTCTATCTATTCAGATGCAAGTTGAAAGTTTTTCCCGCGTTTTCCCGTTGGCCTTACATCCTAGAAGACAAAGGAAGCCAGAAAAGAATGGAGCCATGTGTCCCGTTGTCCTACATTTTCATGAATAGCCCAACACCAGAAATCGAAGCATCTCTTTGAATGCAACGATCTTTCAATGCAACAACATCGTCATCGTCAACAACTGTTGGGCATTTCGTGATCAAAAGTACAGTGATCTTTTTTTTTCGTTAGGAACCCTCGATTCAAAGTCAAAAGTTGTCGACACATAAATCAAAATAAATGAAGTGGAAAAAAAAAAGAAAAATTAAGATTAGTTGAAATTTACCTTAATGATGTTTATACGTTTGAATTAATAAATCAAAGATAAAAGATTATTAGAGGATAACAATAACGTAACTGAACAAACATAACATATAACACTGAATATCAAGCTAATTTAACATTTCAAGTCAATACAAATATCCAAATATCCAAATTATCGTTGAAAATTCCTAATGAATAAAAAAATCACTATACCTTTTGACCAACATCCCAAACCGTACAATTCCATGGTCAAAGACTCATCTTTTTCTTCACCTGCCACGACAAAAAGGTAAACCCAGAAATTTTAAGCAAGAAAGAGGCTTTCTTTGGTGTTTTTTTATTTAGTTTTAGTGACTGATGAGTTCATTTCATTTTTTTTAAAGATTATGTTTATAGAGACTCTACCAGGTATGGTTCAGTAAAAAATATTGTCATTTCTTGCTTTGGAGAATAAGAGGTTTAAGGGGAAAGAATTATCTAAGCTGGCAGGTAATTTGTTGAGTGAAAGTCAAGGGCTTGAATTTTGGGCCATGAAAGCAGCACGGAATCTGCCTGATGCAGTGTCTGAATCAAATGTTAATGAGCGGATTTCTGGTTTTAGTTTGGACTTTGGTGAAGAAACAGTTGGTGAAGAGTTTGAGTCCTTGCCAGAAGCTTCTTTGTTGAGGTGTGGAGGAGAGGGGATTCATCTTTCATCCCTGCCAACAATGTGTTGTCTCCAATGAATTAGTATGGACAGATTCATTGTTTAATCTCTTTCAGAACATTTTAAATCATAATTTTAACTCAGGATTCAATCGACTATCTTGTTTACGGCTGAAACATTTTCCAAATCTTTAAAATTTGGGAACTTTGTGTTATGTTTGGTCACTAAATGTGCTTCGCTATTGATGTCGCATAAGGATGCATTGACTGAAGCAGTTGAGTGCACCAATACTCTTGTTACAAAATCCATATTATTAAGATTAGCTACCTTCTAACTATTTTTGTTAATCTATTTAGTTGAGACGAGTAAAAGTTTCATTTTAACTAATAATATCAATATTATTATTGGTCTTCCAGAAAATGATTGAAATAAGAAAACAAGAGAATGAAGGAAGCATTAGTTTTTCTTCTTTATTGGAATTATATATATATAATCTTCTTTGCTTGCAGGAGAAAAAGAGAGTAATACATCTTTTAACGTTCGAAACATAGCATGAAAACTGAAAATATGAACCATGAGCGAGCAATACAGGGTAACCCAAGTAATCGGTACTTTTAGACATGGAAATTATGATGCCCATTAGCCACTGTTTTCATGGACTCAAATCTTGGACCCTTCTCTGAGAACTTAGTGGTTGAATAAAGCTTCAGGTAATCCTGGAAACGGTAGTGATTGGGGTATAATAGTTTGGGAGCTGGAGAAATAAGTGCATCACCAGCAGGATTGTAGAATGTAGCAATGGAAAGTCTGCTTCCATTTTTTTCTGCCATGACACGATGCAGAACACTTTTATACCTCCCATTGCTCAACACCTCCACTTGGTCACCTGTGTTCACAAAGATGGTGTTGTTCTTGGATGGGGGAATCTGCACCCATTCTCCATCTTTCAGGAATTCAAGGCCAGGGACCTGGTCATCTTGGAGCAAGAGTATGATCCCACCTGCATCGGTGTGTTCTCGAAGTCCTCTCACAAGCTCTGGATTAGGACATTGAGGGTATTTTGCCACTTTTGTCCCCACAGTAGGACCTTTAGTTCCTGAGAATGCTTCCTTTATGTAATTTTTCTCCAAGCCAAGATTCTCACACATGAGCTCAGAAAGCTTTTCGCCAAATTTAATCAGTTGATCAATGTATTGATCCATTGCTTTACTGTAAGCATGCATTGTTTTAGAGTCAGTTTAATCAGTCGTGTTTACGCTATATAAAACAACTAAATAAGCGAGTACAGCATTCTATTAACTCACTTACTCACCAGAGTTCCTCTGATATGTTTGGAATTTCATTGATGTTGGATTTTGGGTGATGCCAAATGAAAAAAGTGCTTTCCCAGTCAATATCAGAGATGATTTCTTTGTTCTTTAAGCTTTTGGCTACCTCTGATTCATAGAAGCTTTCTTTCAAATTTTCATCATAGTATGCATTCACCAACTGTTTCACCTTCTCCATCAAATTCTTGTCAATTCCATGGTTATCAACCTGCAGATATTGGCAATTTTAGTATTAGAACAAAGCTAAATCACACTTTAAGTTCAACCAGAGAAAAAGAGCTGATGCTCTTAACCTGAAAGAAGCCCCATTTCTCACAAGCTTCGTGCAGAAGAGCCATTGTTTTGCTCCTTTTCTCACCATGGAGTTCATCAAGATCTATCACGGGAATCTCCATCTGGTCTCCTCTTCCTAATCCGGATTGCAAAAGATGGGTAACTTGGAGAACTATTTATAGGCATCAAGTCGGTGCTTGGGTCTAATGGAAGCAACAGTAGTTTTAGGTAACTATAACATCATGGCAGGGAAAAAAATTTTGGGTAACTAGAAGAAGAGATAGGACATGATTAATAAGTCCAAGTTCAATTCATTACCGCTATGTTATACAGTGTAAAAAAGTTCTTCCATTTCGCTATTTTGGTCAATCATGCTTTCTTCTCAAGTAAGCTTTATAGTTTCTTTTTCATAAAAAAACGAAGAGCGTAAGTGAGGTGATTTGAATTTTAATGAATAGTTTTTTAAAGATGATGATATAAATTAATTAAATTAATTTTGAATTATTTTTTAGCTTCAATATATATAATTCAGTAAGTACATGTCTCATTTGTTAGAAACAGGCAGCTTCTTGCATTGAGTAAAACTAGGGGTGGACAATGAATTGGTGTCAAACAACCAAAGGGAAACCGTGGGAGTGGGACAAGGATCTAAGCTAGGAAAAAGGAAACAATGGGCGGTTCCGAGTAGCGACTGCAAACTTTTTTTTTTTAACTAAATTTGTAAAAGAAAAATCATATATATATATATAATATTATATTACAGCATATAAAATTAGATGGTTATATATATTTTTTTCACATATGAACAGTATTTAATATATATTATTTAACTTTAAATATCAAAATTTTTAAAAATAAATTTTATTCAAATTATTTATAATTTTTTAAAATAAAAATTTTTAATAAATTATAATAAAAATATAAAATTTTAAAAAATTAATCTTATTTGATTAAAATTTCACCAAAAAAATCTCTTTTTAAATTTAAAATTTTCAAATGAATACTTTTATTTTGGTAACTTTTTTTTATAATTTTTAATCTTTTTTTTAAATTAAAAAACATAAATATCACTTACTATATATTTTTTAAATTCAAAAATATTTATAATTGTTTTATTATAATTTGACTTTTAATTATATTATATGTATTATATATTTTAAATATATAAGTGATTAAATAATTTTAATTTATATTTTTATATATATTTAAAAAATAAAAATAATCCATATATCATATAAGTAACAAGCTAATCATAATAAAATATTACAATCATATGATTTAAAACAAATAAATAAATAAATTAGTACATATAAATGTGAGTTTTATATAATATTTTGATGAATCCAATATAATGTTAATATAATTAATTAAATATAGTATAATAATTATAGATTATATATTTTCAAAGATGTACCTGACTTATTAGTATTCGATTTATCCAATTAAATATTTTGAAACTATCATGGTAGTATAAACAATTTAGTTAAAAAACTGAATTACTTAATATTTAATCAAATCAATTGCGTTATTAATATTATAATTATTTTTTTAATAATTTACTGCAGTTATATTAATTACAGAAATTAGACTATTACATTATTTTCTTTTGGAAGTATGAAGGTAGTATTACAATATGTAAAATATTTCATCTTAATATTTTAATTTTTTTTAAATATAATTTTTTCCAGACATTTAAAATTAAAATTTGAATGAAATAACATATATATTTTATTTTTTAAATTTTAAAATTAAAATTTAATTAGTTAAAATTAAAAATTTAATACTTTATCAATAATTTAGGAATGTTAATAATTAAATAAAAATATTTATTTATTAATTTTTCAAACTGGATCAAACGAATTCGGGCTTAAAAACCATTGTCTAAGCTCAAACCCGAATTTACCAGACTTATAGACTTGGACTAACGGCCCGATATTTGGGCTGCTCTTTACAATGAGCCCATAAAGACTCTACTTTCTGGTTTCCAATAAATTCCAGCTTTTCTTTGGGGAGCGTGAAGACCACAGCTCAACCACTTTGGTAGTGCAATACCGTAATTTCCTTTTTGTTTTATTTACGGATATTTTTAACGGCGCAATCTTCAGACTTCAATTTCAATATATGGCGTTCTGTACACCCGATATCCTTTAGCGCGTAGGAGTAGGATCAACACCTTATTTATGTGATATTAGTATATCTTAGTCAAAGGAATTTTTGGTAGTTTTACTCAACCTCCATTCCCAAGCTAACTAAAACTTATTTCCCTCTCGTTCTCCACAAACCAGAAAGAGAGGAGAGAAAAAAAAAAAAAAAAAAGGTAGGGGGGAAGGCGCAAATCTAACGCCCTCACTTTTGGTTTTGCTAACTTACGCTTGCTACTCTGCGCAACATTCGTTTACTTTTTCTCTCTCTAGTTATTTTTTTTCCCTCTCACGAAAACCTCCGTAATGAGGAGGAGACTCGTGGCTCTCTTCTTCATTTGCGATCTCTTCGTATTCGTCGGTTCCGTCGCCGCCATTGATCCCGAGTCCGAGTCGGCGGCGGAGATCAATGTCACAGCCGTCCAGTCCAATGTCTCGGACCCGAGATCCAGAGAGGATAGTTTCGCCAACATGATCGATCGCGCTCTTGAGAAGGAGTTCAATGACACTGACCAAAACGAAGGTCCGTGCTAGATCTAAACTCTCACTCACCCTCTCCTTTTGCCTCTGCATTTGTTTTTATGTCGGTGGTGGTCGAGATAGGGTTTGAAGTCTGGATCAGCTTACTCAATTTCTCTTAATTTTCTGTTTTCATTAAAATTTTTAATTTTTAGAATTATTTTATTTCTTCTTTTTTTTTTTTAGTTCCAATTATTGGAATTCTTATTAGGGTTTTCTTTTGCAGCCACTGATCCTGGCAGTTTCAACAATAGTGTTGCGGGGAAGCAGGTTTGTAGTAGGATGGTAGCATTCTTTAATTTTGTTATTCATTTTCAATAACCTTTTAATTTTGAAAGTGATTATGTGGTCACCTTAAGTTCCCAAAAGTAGAACTCCTTTTGTTGCATTGCATTTTGTGCACTCTCAACATAAGAATGCGAAGAAGTCTTTGATGCAGTTGGCTGCTGTTAAATTGCAATTTTGGTTTTAGTGTTTAGAGGACCTTAAACATGATAAAAAAAAAGGAAAAAAAAAACGTTAGACCAGATATTATTCATTGCTACTTTTAGGATTAGTTATAATTTGGACAATATCCGTTCTAGTTTTTAACCGAGAAAAACCTGAGATCAGAGCTCCGAAGTCAGAACCATGCCACTCTTGCAATGAAGATGAAGGTTTTTTCTTGTAGTGGCACTTTTGTTGGTTGAACTTTAAAATACTTGTCCATTTCTGACATTTTCTATTGAGTAGAAACTCTTCTTCTTGGGTGGTGATAACAAAATTTTGTTTATTTTTGTTAGGCTGTCTTGGAAACTGTGGCTAGAGTTAAGTCCAAGAAAAATGAGACCAAGGAAGAAAAGTAAGTATTTTTTTCTTCAATATAAATTCATAAGAAAGAGTAGTTATCATGATAGGACAACTTCTTCTAGTATTGTAGGCATTTCACTTCACTAACACACATTTGAGGAAGCTAACACTTTTTTGAGCCTTATGTCAGGTCGTTTCAGCTCCATGATGTTTTCCATTTGGATAATGAAAACCAAGCTGAAGATGCACCAACATTGATAGATCAAAACGTATGTCCAGCAAATGCTGCTTCCGGAAATTGTACTTTTAGTGTAGTTATATTTGAAGTGCTTACTTGTTGATAATATTGGGATATTTCTCTGCAGGACAATGTCTTTATAATATCCAACCCAAAGTCGAAGTATCCTGTTCTACAACTAGACTTAAGGTTATACTTTGATTATATATATATATATATATATTTATTTAATTTGATGTCATTACAATTTTAATGAAGATAAGTTTTTGATTGTTCAAAATGTTTTTTGCAGATTAATATCAGATCTGGTAGTTGTCATTGTCTCTGCAACATGTGGTGGCATTGCTTTTGCTTGTGCTGGACAACCGGTACTTATGCTGTACCTTTTATGTTCTTTGTTCCTTTAGCTTCACCCTTTACAGTATTGTGCTGCTTTTTACATTCATTCTCAATCTCTACTTGAAAGCTTTTTAGAACTTGTTTTTGATTCACAATGATAGGTCTTCTCTAAAGGACGGTATTACCCTACATTTTGAAATTTCAGGTTATTACTGGATATCTACTTGCAGGATCTATTATTGGGCCTGGTGGTTTTAGCTTTGTTGGTGAAATGGTGCAGGTATGTTGCTTGTTTGCTTTGATGGTAGCTGGCAGTTTACTTATCTTTAGCTTAGGAAACTCATTGTGGTAATATCTTTAGATTCATTTATTGGAGGATTAGACATCAAGAGTTATGAAGTGAGGTTCAAGTTGGTTAACTGGAATGAGGCAGGATATCTTAATCTCTTTCCTACCAGGAATTCTTTTTTTGGGTGCTGGGTGGGGGTGTACGTTTTAAAAATTGGATTTTACAGATGGTGATTCCTGTATGAAACTGCTAGACAAAAACAGGAAAAACAGGGGATTTTAGGAGAATTGGTAATTGAAGTTGATAAGACTCCAACTCATTTTAGACACTTTAAAAATCATGATACTGACTTAAGATGACACCTAGGCTATTATGTTGTAATAATGGGAAATAATTGTTTAGTTGCATATCTATACTGACAAGTCTGACATATATAAGCCAACTAAAGCCTATGAGCATGATGTGGTATAGTGTACAACTACCATATTTCCTTAAAATTTCAGATTTGGTTAAAATATAAACGTTAGTTTCTACTTGTGTGATATTGCCCTGCATGCAAGGGTTCCAAGAAAGAGAACCGGGCCTAGAAATGCATTTATATGCATCAAAATGGTAATGCACGTGCTGTTACTTGTGTTGCTGTAGTGAAGAAAACGGTCTTATTAATTCTTCATGAATGTTGTTTAAGGAAACTGTGGCAGTGAGAGAAGCTTACAAATTTGTATATTAGCCTTTTTCTCTTTTCATTTTAAAATAATTTCACTTACTATTCCCATATTTTTATTGGCACATGCATTCAGGTTGAAACAGTGGCTCAATTTGGCGTAATCTTTCTTCTTTTCGCATTAGGCTTGGAGTTTTCAGTGACAAAGGTTTGCTTCTTGTCTTGTACTCTCCCTAGTAGATTCATTTCTATGATCAATAATACTCACCTTGTTACAATTCCTGCAGCTTCGTGTTGTTCGAGCAGTTGCTGTTCTTGGAGGTCTTCTCCAAATTTTTCTATTCATGTGCTTGTGTGGTATAACAGTCTCGGTATGTCAATTATTGTTAGAAATATTTTATGTAAATGTTTGATATATAAAGCCTTGCCACATAACTTATGCATTTCTTGGATTCTGAGTTTTAATATAAGTTTTATATTTTATACCAAATAAAGAACTGAGTTTTTTATTGTACCCTTGAGAGGCCGTAAATTGACATTTAAAGGGTTAATATCCTTAATTAAACTACTTAAAATTTCACTGCCCACATCATTCTGCATGTGATAAATAAAGTTTTTCTTCTTAGGTAGTCATGGCCCATGTGACTCAACTCTATATCTTTTGTGTGTCTCTTTCTCCCTTAGTTTTTGGTTTTCGCTTTTCTTTCTACTATGGCAGGCTGCCTATTTAGTGTTGTCTATTACTCTATCTCATTTTAGGTTGCAATCTGCAAGGCTAAAGTTACTGCTTTGCAATGTTCACAATAAATGTTGAAATATGCTGCTTGCTATTATTTGTTTTAATGGTTGCTATTACCAAGAATACTACAGGTTTGGTGTTCAAATGGCCCTATGTGCAAAAGATAAACATACACCCTTGTGGCACTGGCTTGGGCTTTAATTATTGGTCTCTCTAGTTTCTGTCTTCTCGGTTGTTTTAAACTTGAATTAGTTGTATGTGGACAAATGGAGGTGTCAGATTGTCAGTCTAATATTCCAATATTTAACTTCAGAAGCTGTGGATGATATATTTCTTATATTGTGATTTATCATTCATGTACTGGATTCTAAAACAACTGGTGTAAGTGAGCATCATCAAATGGTTGTTTGGGGCTCTGGCTAGATGTTATCTGCTATTTTCCATCAGTTGAGCCAGGGTCAATTTATTTGTTTGTTCAATTGGGCATGTTGATAAAGTGCTGCTTTTCTATTGGAGAAGATATGGTGTTTTCCTTTCTTTTTTCCTTCTTTTACTGATGTTACGGTATTTTCCTTCCTTTTACTCAGATTATTATAGCTATGAGTTTTTGATGGATGCAGCTACATGCTTTTTGCAGTTATTTGGAGGTAAACCTTCAGAGGGGGTTTTTGTTGGTGCATTCCTGTCTATGTCTTCTACAGCAGTGGTAAACCTCTATGAACTGCATAGTGACTGAGAAATTGAATCGGTGAAATTTTTTAGTATATTACAGTTCATATGAGTCTTGAACTGGTTGGATAGTTTCTCTCTCAATTTGGATAGAGAAAAGTACTTGTTCAAGGAATCACATTTACAAATATTATCCTTCCTTATATAAGTTGTTTCCTTTAACACTCACCATGACTGCTTTGTTTTTGTGATTCCAGGTTTTGAAATTTTTGATGGAAAGGAATAGTATAAGTGCTCTTCATGGTCAGGTTACAATTGGAACTCTTATCTTACAGGTATTTATTTTCTTGGTCACCACATCAGTTAAAAGAATATTTACTTGTGCTTTGATACTTGGCTAGTTTGAAGTTTGAACTATCATGGCTTGGCAGGACTGTGCTGTGGGTTTGCTGTTTGCTTTACTTCCAGTTCTAGGTGGTAGTTCTGGCATCCTTCAGGGAGTATTATCCATGACTAAATCGTAAATGAAGAAATCTATAGGATGAGCTCTCTTTGATGCAGTTGAGACAAAGATCATCAACGTTTTGTAGGTTTCTTATGATAAATTTTTTCTTTCAAAATTTCAGGTTGGTGATTTTAATCACATTTCTGGTCATTTTGACAATATTATCTCGGACTTGTGTGCCATGGTTTCTTAAGCTCATGATAAGCCTATCATCACAGGTAATGTGTATTATTTGGTTCAATTCTTAAATCTATGTAGACATTTATTAACACAAATATTTATTTGCACAGACTAATGAGCTCTATCAGTTGGCATCCGTGGCGTTTTGCTTGCTTGTTGCTTGGGTTTGCTCATTTCCTTCTTACTTCTTGCATTGTAATTAACTTATGAATTTCATTGCAACATAAACATTTGAAAGATTGTCTTATTTTTTTTCCATGAGTTGCTGCAATTTTTTTGCTCACTCTTGCAACTTCTTTTACCTAGCCAATAAAACCCATGTGGCTTTTAATTCGCTTAGCAATCTAGATTCATGTGTATATGCATATACTAATGTAGCTTGTTGTGATACTCCAGTGTAGTGATAAGCTGGGTCTAAGCCTTGAGCTGGGTTCTTTTGCTGCGGGAGTGATGATATCAACCACTGATCTGGGCCAGCATACACTTGAACAAGTTAGATTCTAGTTTTGTGTACCCTTTCTGGAAATTTCAATGCCTGACTACTTTTGTTATGCTCCTCTTGTAGTCCTGTTTATAATTATGTGTTTTGCATTGTGAGGTAGATTTATGAATGATGTAAAAATTGGTTACTTTCCTACTTAAAGTTAACTGTTACATAAGCTCATTGACCATTTATGTACACAGTTAATATTGGAATCCCTTTCCAGACTGAGTTGTCAGTCTTAAATGTTATTGAATCTGCTAAAGGCAATTACCAATGGTGTAAGATGAGTCTTTCTGGTAGAAAGGTAATTCACAGAATCATAGCCCTGCCCATACTAGTTGTGCTGTTAGCAAAGTCTTGTGTACATCAGGTGCTATTGTGGCCATCTGGTGTGGCTTTTAGGGTTTCAGTTGGTATTTTCTGCTGCTGGAACTTATTTTCCGCTGCTGGAACTTATTTTCCTTTAGTTTAATTTGGTTTGTGATGCATGTTTGAGAGCATTATTGTAAATATGAGTTCAGATATGAGTACATGTGAACTTTTTTTATTCAAATTTTTTGGTAATACTCCAAACAAATACAAGTATGCTACTACAGTGTTCTTGCCTTTTTATGCATTGATTCCTTATCAATACTCCTGACCAGCAATATTCTGCCTTGATCTCTCTCTCTTTCTCTGTCTTCTATACAGGTTGAGCCCATTCGCAATTTCTTTGCTGCTCTTTTCCTTGCCAGTATTGGGATGTTGATTCATGTGCATTTCCTTTGGAATCATGTTGATATATTGCTAGCAGCTGTAATATTGGTGATTGTTATTAAAACAATGGTAGTTGCTGCAGTTGTCAAGGGATTTAGATACAGCAACAAAACTTCGCTTCTTGTATGAGTTGAGCGTACTACTTGCATATTTGTATTCATTTTGACATCATTCTGTAAAGGGGCATCAGTTCCTTTCAACTTAATGTGTAGGTTGGGATGTCTTTGGCACAAATTGGGGAATTTGCTTTTGTTCTTCTGAGTCGTGCTTCTAATCTTCATCTAGTTGAGGTTTGTACTCCATTGCTTTAATATTCATTTAATTGAAGTTACTACTGCCTATGTGGCTGACTCTCTTTCTCTCTTCACCCCCACCTACCTGCCACCATGAGTCTGTCCATCCCCTCAATGTATCTGACCGATTAATTTACTTAATTTAGTGTTGTTAAGTACATCATACATTTTTATCTCATAACAAGAACTTCAGTTTTTGTTTCTTTTTTTCTCTTTGTGTGGTTCATACTTGACAATATTTGCTGAAATTCTTGACATTGCTGCAGGGTAAACTTTACCTGCTACTTCTGGGCACAACAGCTCTTAGTTTGGTATGTGAGCCTTTATATCCCATTGCATTTGCATTTGGCATTATATTCTCTTCAAGAAAAAAGAAAAAAAAAAAAGAAATTTGAGAATCTCCATGGTTTTATTATTCTGATTGTAAGTACTGAACATGCGACTGAAGGGTTAGTTTGAATCTGTACAACTGCCATAAATGTCCTATGCTGCAGTTGTTTCTTCTGCTTATAGGTTCAAAAACAAATTCTTTCAGATAGATGCAATTTGTTTAAGCATTTCTGATCAGAATGGAATGGAAACTTTTAAGTTCCTGATTTAGCTGCAACTAGCCAATTTCACAAAGTTCTTTCATTGTTAAAATAATATTCTACAATAAAGTACCAAGCTGAATTTCTATTAAGATTTAAAATTGTGGTCATTAAATAACCTGCAGGTGACTACTCCATTGCTTTTCAAGATGATTCCTGCTGTTGTTCATCTGGGTGTGCTCCTGCGGTGGTTTCCTCCTGATAGTCCTAGTGAGGTAATCAATCTGCATCTGAAATAAACTTCATGGTATAATGGTATTATCTTGATAACAGATCACTGAAGAGTGTTGCAATGTTTTAAAACTTTTGCCTAATTATTATTTGTCGGAACAAGTGTTTTGAGATTATGTTGAACATTATTTCTCCTCCCAGATTGGTTTTAAAGGAGATAGTCTTCGGGCAGACAGTGCTAAGCGTATTACTTTGATGGTCCAAGGCTCTCATGATTCATGATATTAAATAAAACATGTCCCAGAAAAAATGCAAATTTCCAGCCTTTACCTGATGGGGGTTCTTATACTCTGGAGGACAGGTGCTTAAAAGTGCAAAAGAAGTTGACTGACAGAAAAGTTTCTTTTCCATTGCAAAGTTCTTCATGATGTTTGCCGGCATCCCATGCTATTTTCTGGCCGAGCAAGACTGTATAAAAGACAGCCAGACAGCCCCCAGATATGAACAGACAATATAAATACGATCCTCCTCCTCCTCCTCCTCCTTATGCCCGGCATAGTCTAATATTGGTTCAGGTAATGGCATTAAACTATCCCAGGTGACCTTTGTAAAATAGGCGTCCATTTTATAATGTAATTCAAATCAATCTTTTCCCTTCGCTCCACTTCAATTGATTGGTTTATTTTTTTTCTGGGTGAAGTAGGCAGGTTACAAATGTCCAAGTGTATACATTCATGTTTTTGTTCCTGTAGATTCCGCACATTGACCTTAACCTTGTAAACTTTAAATTTTGTTTCGCATATTAAAATTATTTCACAAGGTTTCGCAACGTAATGTTAATATTCATCGTATTCATACTTACTAAATCTTACCAATCCCAGGTGTTCCTTTTTTCTTTGTTTTTCTCAAATATTATAAGTGGTTAAAGAGCAAGACTTGAGTCTTGGATCCTGACTTATCACCTAAAGCCTAAAGGACGACAACATAGAATTTTCGAACAAACAAACAAAAGTTCTTTCTCAAACCAGACTTTCGTGGTTGTGTGTGTGGGTGTTATTGTATGGGTTGGTTAGATTAGATTTCTGTGAACACCATCAAAAGGAAAACTTTCCTAGTTTTGAGGTTCAAATGCAAGTGAAACGCCGTACAAAACCAGTTGGTGGATTTTGAATAAACACAAAAAATTATTATTGCAAAACATTCGGATGATGAGGTCAACAATTGTACAGAGAAATTGGCCATCCAATCATTGTCAGGCATGAATTAAAGTATATAGACAAAAAAAAAAAAGGGCAAAACAAAATTCTTATTGTCTTTGCAATAAAAGAAAAAAAAGTTTTTCAGAGTGCCGATGATGATGAGATATTTTGATATTCTACCTTTGCAATGACGTTTGTCTTCACTTGACAGGGGGCCAAGAGTACCATACGAGGAAAAAGTTTCTTTATTAATTCTGGTGCAGGTCTCTATAAATTTGGCAGGGTTCCTTTTTTCTATATTGTGGTCCGTTTTCTTTTTGGTTAAGAGTTAATTAGCTGAAAATAAAAAGAAATTGAAGCCCTTTTATTTAGTTTCAAGTAAGCAAATATATATTTATATATAAAATTACTCTGTTTAGATATTGTTAATACAATTTTTTAATTTTATTAACGGTGTTAAAATACCATAGAATGCTTCATTGATTATTATATAAAATATATATCAAATGAAATTTTATATAATATATATTTATAGTTAGGTGAAATGTCACTTTATTACAAAAGTGATCATTAAAATGTGCAAAAAGCTTAGGCCCTCAAGTAGGTAAAATTAACAGTAATGTATATATATTTTTTGTCGTGTTTGAAAAGGATGTGGAGCTTTCTTACACGTTCACACACCCACAAAGACAAAGGAAATTAATGGCTCGATGGTACATTAATTTCGTCACTCCCACAACAACCTCTCTATTCAGTTTAAAAAGTCTGAATTTTGATTGAGAATTTTTTTTTTTTTCAATTATAAAAATCTGATGCCCAGTTATTGTAACGATACGCCTCGTGTCTAATTATAGTTCCATTTCAATGTAATAATACTAATAAATACAAAGAAAATTGCTAGTAATATCCTAGAGTTTAAAGAGAAGTAGAGTGAATAATTAATTATGTGATTCTTTTTTAATAATACGATTAAGAGTGTACCTCGTATTTCATTTGAATGAAATTTTCTCCCAAAACGATTTAAATGTATATTATTTCATATTGATTTGATGTAATTTAGAATTTTGTATTCAAAGGGTTTTCAAACATTAATTGATTAAAAAAATAAAATTTATTAGATAAGTGACATATATATATATATCAATAATTAAAAAAGGAAATTATTAGTAACTTTCAGTGAGAAATTACAGATCAAAATGGAGGGGTTAGCACATTTTTTGGCAAGGAATTGGTCCAATTACGACCTTGTCAACACGTATAAAACGTGGTTTGCAAAATTGATGTAATTGGTGACCTAACTTAATAATTCTACCCATACGTATAAAAAATTTTGTTGAAGATGACATTCATGACCAAACAACCTAGCAAGACGATACTGGTGGTTAAAAAGAAATTAATTAAGAATTCATCCAATGGGCGTTGTTATTATTATTATTATTATTATTATTTTTTATTAGTTAAAAAAAACGAATTTTCAAATTCAACAACCGAAAACATCGAATAGAGTAAATATATATCAAACAAATTCTAACATACATACGACTCCCTTTCAAACCACTTGTTTCATATTACAAACAATTATAAATGAACCCACCAAACCTATATGCTACTATCTATGGCCTATTAAATTCAAAAAATGATAATTTTTTCAATGATTTTTTATTTGCATTATAAAAAATTGTTATAATGGTGCATTTTTCATATACTAAACATTTTATCCTTGAAGAGTGAAGATAAATTAAAATTGACTAGTAGTAAAGAATTCAGTCTTTGATAATTCAATAGTAGCTTTTATGTTTGATTGGGTGGTCAAAGTCTAGGTTTAGATTTAATCCTTCTTTCCCATTGCTTGGGGTATACGCTCAAACAATATTATAGTATCTTATAATAATAATAATAATAATAATAATAATAAAGAACCCTCTGCTCCCATAATCTCATAAAAGAGGGACATTACATGTTACTAAACTAGTAGCTATCATTTGATATATAGGACAATTAATCGTAAGAACTATTGACTTGATAAAATTTATTTTAGTGCTAAAATTGTACAAAATCAAGTCAGTGTTCATAGTTAAATGCTATTATTACTAAGTATTTGGTAACTCTATATATATATATAGTGATGGTGAGGGTGGGGGTTATTTAAATTTGAATCTAAATCTTACAACATGTCACAATTCTTTTTTAATCATTCTGTCGAGAGGTTGATAACATACATATCTTTAAATAAAAAAATTTGGATTCAAATCTCCATTTTCTTTTCCCAAAAATGGAAAAAGCTATTACTTCTCATTTTTATGTCAGGATCTGTTTTCGATAGCTGCAAATATAACTATATCTTCATACAATGAAAGATTGGTGGATGTGGAAGAGTAAAGTCTAACTTTCTTTGATGAGGCATTTTTGTCCTCCTTAGAATAATGCCACGTTTGGTTGGAATATTTAGTGGAATGTAAAGGAATCGGATTGGTGAAGTCAATTGTATGGAGCAAAAATGCTGATAATGTTAGGCTATGATTATGGCAGCTACACGGACAACCGTACGTGAGAATGCAGATCCTGAATCCCTAAAATACATATAAAGAAGTGGGAATATATCATCTATATATAGATAAAGTTTTGTCATCCATAGGATTCATCCTGATAAGGATACGGGATATATAGGATATAAATTAAAAAGATCATCGCTTGGCAGGAAAAACAAAGGTTCCAAAAAACATTGACACCTCATTGATGTTTACAGCTACTAAATAAAAACATGTTTGTTTGTTGAAAGGTCAGTGTCTTAAAAGTGATGATAATTGTGAAAAGAACAATATGAATTTTCAATTTGGACAAACCGAAATCCATCAGACCGACAGGAGAATTATAGCTAAGGAAGCTACGTATATATCTGTAAAATGTCAGTGGCTTGTTTTGCTTTTTCTCTGTATATACTGTTATTGTAAGTTCACTTACAGTTACCAGGTAGATAGATTTCCAGATAGGGAGGTCCCCTCATTTCCTGCTCTAGTCCTTTCAATGGTTCCCATTCGCCAGCACAATCGCAAATTTCAATGCCAGTGCTACTCCAATGTGATAATTAATGGTAGAGTATTCAAAGTTTTTAAGCTTGTGGACTAGCTTCATTTCCTTATCTTCAAAGTTTATAAAAGAGTGGAGTCAAAAATTGCCTCCTGGAGGTGTGCCAGTTTTCTAGTCACACATTTTTTTTTTGCTATAAACATTGCACAGATTTTATGAGAGTCATTTCATCTGATGATACATATGCATGCACCAGTACCAATCCAAGGTACATCCAAAGAAAACGAATTTGGAAGATTTTTAAAGGATGTCAAAGCTCTTGAAAACTTTACTGGGTTTAATTAACAGAAGAATTATATTTCATTGGAACTTTCAAAAAGATTTTAACTTTGAACAATAATGAAGCCTTTGAGGGTGTTGACCATTTTTAAGTCAGCAGTCAACATGTTTTTTTTTTCCTAATTGTAACAAGGGTTTTCGTCTTCTGGTCTGTGTTGTTCTAATTTGCAACAGAATAATAAATTATTTCATCACTGCAATAATTCAACTCATGCAAGAGATTGAAGACTTTTTGTTACAGGGAAGAATATCCTGATATGTATGGGTTACCAAAATTTGTACATGATTCCCAAGGTACGAGGATTATCTCATCTGTCAATTCGAATTCAGGATTTGGTAATCAGCAGAGTCCAATATTGTGGCATTATCAGGATCTTAATTCACACCTTAAGGCCTTAATTTGTTCTATTTTGATGAAAGTTTGGCCAAAAGAAATGTTTTGTATTGAAAAGAAGGACCCAGTAACAGGCCCCCATTCCAAATTAATGTTTTCTGATATCGGAATTTTCAATCTGTGGAGAAGCTGATATATAGCTTGGTCCCTATTTTCTGTCAGGATAAGATATACCTTATAGACATTTATTTGTATCCGAATCAAATAATAATATTATTTTTATTTTTATTATTTTTTTCTTATTTCTTAACGAGTGATTGAATAAGAAAATCAAACCAACGAATAAAGGGATTTCGATTTTGCATATAATCAGGAATTAAATTAGACAACTTGTCAATCTTAAATCTAAAATCATATTTGAGCATAATTCAATGTCAGGATTCAAATTTGGATTAATTTTGTTCCAACTTTTAAATTAACACTGAGGCTAGCTATAAGTTGAATATAAAATCACAAAACAATTCACGAGTTAATTTTTGGAGAAAGAAAGAGTGAACTTCTGGAGAAAAGATGAGTTAATTTTTGGAAGGAAATATTTCTAGATTCAGGGTTTCTGATATTGAATTTTTGAAAGGAATTTCTCAAGGTTTGAATTTCTGAATTTTGGTTTGAAGTTTTGGATTTGAAGTTTGAAAATTTGGGTTTAAGTTTAAGTTTTTGCAAAATTTATGAAGAAATCTAGGTTTGGGTTTAATGTTTAAATTTTTTGTTGAATTTTTCGACAGACTTTAAATTTTTTGACAAGATTCTGATGATATTTTTCAAAAACCTACAGATTACCTAGCTTCTGATGGTTTGTTCTTATTTTTTAGAAAGAATGCAAAGAAAATTTTGGGCTAGAAAAAAAGAGGACGGAAGCGTTCTAAGAAAAGTTTGAAGGACTTAGCTTTTATACTGTGCCAAAGCAACACTGTTCTGAAAGTATCAGATTCGCATGTTAACCCACTGACTCGTGCACGACTCGTTTGTTTGACCTGACCCTATCATATGTTTTTCTTTTTCTTTTTCTTTTTTATTTTTAATTTTTTATTTTGATTTTGATTTTTTTGGCCTTTTCTTATTTTATTTTATTTGATTAATTTTAAATTAAATAATTTATTATTTTTAAAATAATTTTTGTAAAATTCCTATTATTATTCTATTTTGAAAAAAAAGAACATAATAATAGAAAAAACTCTTTTAAATAAACTCATGAATCTTACCAAATTATTTGAATATATATTTTTTA